TAGCCTGAGCCTAATTCCTCGATACTAGCAATAATGTCAGCCAAACGATCCTATAAACCTCTTTCTACATGTCCTTCGAATATTCAACCTCCGGCAAAAAAGACAAAGCGCGCAACCCAAAGAAAGGCTACAAATGTGATTGGGGCTACCGAACCGATTCTGCATGATCCTGCAGCCTTTAAGCCTCTCGAAGGTGCAGAGCATGCTACCAAGTCAAGAGTGCCTGGAGGAGCCAGCTTGATACCGGCAGCGATTTTTGGTCTGTTTTGGGATGACCGCATAATTCGGCAACTTGTTTGCGCAACCAATGCGTATGCATGACAGAAAAATGCCACAAAACAGCAATGGCGGTGTGCGATCTCAGTTCAGGAGTTGCGCATATTCCTAGGAATCACGATTCTGATGGGTATTTCTCGGTTGAGTCGGGTGAGGAGATACTGGTCTGATCGTATTCTTTCCGCTCGCAGCTCTATGAGCTACCGCCGCTACTGTCAAGTAAAGCGCTTTATCCACATCTCAATGCCAGAAGACAGTACTGGCTTATCACGAGGGGAATGGTGGAAAAAGCTGGAACCGCTTAGTAGCCATTTGCGACATAAAAGTCAGATGCTGCTTCAGCCTGGTACCCATCTCTCAATTGATGAAATGATCGTATCATTTGCTGGTAGAAGCTTTCATACTGTTCGCATATCAAGTAAACCAATTCCAATATGGTACAAAGTCATTACTCTGTGTTGTATGGGGTATATAATAGATTGGATACTTACCTCCCGAACTGAGTCCTTTGCGGAGCTAATAAAGCTGCCCGACCTCTCACCAACAAGTTCCACTGTTGTCCAATTATGTCGCTCTCTTAATACCCAGCAATACCACCATATTATCTATATGGATAATGTGTTTTCTACGATCCCACTGTTTCGAAAATTAAGAGAAAACAGAATTGGAGCCTGCGGCACTACCAGGGTTAATAGAATTGAATACCCAGTCAGTCTTGAGCAACAAGCTCTTACTGAATGGAATTCAATTGATGGTTACTCCATGGATGGGGTATTGTGCTTCCGATAGATGGACAACAATATAGTAAGAATGCTTACTACGGTTCATCCATGGAATGAGGTTATACGCAGCATGCGTCGACGGCCTTGTACAACTAGCACAAATGCTACCCTAGTACGAAAGGTATTTGGAGATCAGGCCCACGCTGCCTTCTTTATTCCTACCGCAATTGATGACTATAATCATCATATGGGCGGGGTTGACATAGCAGATCAGCACCGTGCAGGTAAGCAAAATAGAATTAAATTCTGGTCTCAACACCACTAATGACTAGAATATAGCCTTTACAACACACCAGCGTGCACGGCGGAATTGGCTAGCCTTCTTTTATTTTTTCTTAGACGTATCAACTACGAACGGCCATATTTTGATCAATCTTGCACGGAATACGGAGCTTAACTGACTGCTAGATGCAGGAGATTTGGCTGATCAAGATATACTCTCCCACCCACTCGCCCGCCCTATGCTAGCAGTAGAATTTCGCCATCTATTGTTTAAAAAACTATGTGACCAGACTCCTAGTGCGCAGGATAGGGGTAGAAAGGCTAGAAGAATATGCTATCGGCCAAGTACGCACTATCAATCCAAAACACCACGCCTCTATTTTACGAAACATCACTACTTGCAAAAGCCTACATCGCAACCTTCATCCGACCATCACCTTAAGAAGATGGAAAAGCGTCAGGAGTGTTGTATCTGTCGGTATGACTTTCGGAATGGTCAGAAGCAAGGCCACACCCACCCCAAGCTTACCCAGTATGAGTGTCGGGCCTGCTCACCACCAATCGCTCTCTGTGCAAGTGACCAGCTGTGCTTTACCCGATGGCATAATTACACCCCCTCTGTCCCTCAATAATAGCGTTTTTTAAAACAAATAAGACCTTAATTCCATGCGTTTACCAACTAAACTCGACTGTGTAGATATGAGAACTCTATAGTAGATTTGAGCACATATTCATTTGATATCACCCGGATGCCAAGCCGCTAGCTTGGGCGCTAATGCATGAGAGAGATTTCGCCCACGTCTCAGTGAACCAGGGGATAGCTAAGTCCTTCTCAGGAAGCTTTTGACCTCAGAATCCGGAGATTACAGGATTGCCGGGGATGTTTGGATTAATACAATAAATACAGTAGCAGGATTGGCGTTTTTTTTTTTACCCGGCATGGCAGAAGATCGGCCCGCTCGGATCTCATTAACTGGTAATTCGCAATTCCGTTAACCCGTCAAACTAAACCCATCGTGGGGCTGACGGGGATGAGTTTTTTTCCGCTGATACCGGTTACGAGTACGAGTAGTACAAATAGTATGATGAATCTGGTGGTGGATTCCGGGAATGTTTCCACCCATTTCCCCATGATTCGGAAATTATGTCGTGACGATAATTGGCATCGCGGTTCCTCGGCACGCCAAGATTGTGAGTGATAGCAACAGCAACCCTCATCGAGCTCTGATGACGATGGCGTGTTTATGTTTATTTATTTTTCTCTGGGGAGGGGAGGGATTCAAACTGTGGAATATATTGTGTATGTAAATTTGTAAAGATTGGTATATAATCAATCGTGTGCGTATAGTTATGCCATACTCGTACCTGTACTAGTACTGTGCAGGGCAGTACCGTGCAGCACCACTTTCGCACAAAATCTCTTGGAAGGGAGGAGAGCTCCAGAGGGGGAAAAGGAAGTATTTTTTTTCTTTTTCTCTCTCTTTTCTTTACCCCGTCATTAGCATATTTCGGTTTGTCTGCTCTTGCTTACCTACTTCCTGCCTTCTTCTACTTCATCTACTTTGTCGATAGATCTTTTCTTCCAACACTCGCTACCTAATCCCCCCGCGCTCTAAGGCACGTAAACATCCGCTCTGATTTCTGCAAACGGAGGGAGAGAATATAGCAAGAGGGCTTTCGACACCCACCTCCGGTAATCTACAGACTTTATTTCTCCGTCAAGCCTTTTTTTGATCTACTGCTGGTACCACAACTACCACAACTACCACCACCACCACCACCACTACCACCACTATTGCTACCACTGCGCTACAGTGTCTTCTTCATCCGCCTCTGTCAGTCGTTCCTGAGCCGAGTTTGTCATAATACTATTACCCCCCCCGGTTCCTATCCATCTATCTTTTTTTTTTTCTTTTGAGACCGATAGGCCGGCGGAAAAAAAAGAAAAAAAGGCTTCCCCATCTCTAAACCCCCCTAAAAAACCTCCCCGCACAGTATACACCAAAAGTCCCACACCCCACCATTCCCCCTCCTTCCCGAAACATCGGGTGTCGGTAGCAAATCGCAGCTTCGGAAAAGGGGGACCAAAAAAAAACCTCGCAACGTCGAAAAAGACTTGTTCACAGCATAACCTTCGTTCACCACCCACTTTCACCCACCCCCACCACCCCCACCTTTCAAAAGGAATAAGTTTGTACTGCGCGGAACAAGAGGCTTTAATAGTCATTTTGGATGACTTCCCCTTCTACCGCTACAGCTCCACTTGCCGAGAAAGAAGTTCGTCCGACGTCGATCGCGTGGAGGGCAAACCTTCCTGAGCGACCTGCCTCAGAAGGTCGTCGCCGCCAGCTGTCTCTAGCCTCCAGCGTTGGAAGCGTTAGCTTACCGAGCGGATCTGTCCGGGGAGACCGCCCGAGATCGTTATCATCTCCTCCTCCACCTCCGTTAGTTTCCCCCAATTCGCATTCATATTTTCCTTTTCCTCTCCCCTTCATCGAACCCTTCCTCCCCCTGCCCTACCATCTACTCCTGCCCCTCCCCTAGCTCCCACCCCCACAATCCTTACCCCACATCCTCGACTTTTTATGCTTTCCATACCCATCCGTATTCAGACCCCCTTCCTTATCTAACCGTCATTCTTGTTTTTTTCCTTTTCACCATCACTTCCCCTCTTCTTGAGGGTTAAAACATGAGTGACTCCGGACTAACGTCTCTTCACGTGGGGGGTGATAGTACCTTTCTAAAGCGGGTTTCGTTCGATACGTTCGACAATAAAGATGCCTCTGACTTTTCCCTCACGCTAAAGTCAAAACACAAGGACTACGCATACACTCGAAGGTCCCGGACATTTCTCTGCGGAACTGACCAGAACGACTATTCTGAATTTGCGCTGGAATGGCTGATCGATGAGCTCGTTGATGATGGTGACGAGGTGGTCTGCTTGAGGGTCGTCGATAAGGACAGCAAGATCAGCAGCGATGCGGCCTTGCAGGTGCGCCAGTATAGACATGAAGCCGAGAACCTCCTGAACCAGATAATTGAAAAGAATGAGGACGATAAGACCATATCCATCATCCTGGAGTTCGCTGTAGGCAAGGTTCATGAGACGATTCAGAAAATGGTGGGTTACTTCTATTCTACAGGCTTTTTGACATTTTATCATTGTCTCCGAACTTTGCTTACCCAACCATTCGCTGGTAGATTCATATTTACGAGCCCGTCATACTGATCGTAGGAACCCGCGGCCGATCACTCGGCGGCCTTCAGGGCCTCCTCCCAGGGTCAGTGTCAAAGTACTGCCTCCAGCACTCCCCGGTCCCGGTAATTGTCGTTCGGCCCTCCTCAAAGAGGGACAAGAAGAAGGCCAAGAGAAAAGCAGACCCGGGGAGGAAGGTTTACCAGGAGATGGTACACAACTCCGATACTGCCTTCACAAATCACGGGAATCACAGTCACAGGAGTGTGTCCGGGGTCACTGAGGCCATGTCCAACACGTCAATTAGCTCCCTGGGTGAACCCATCGGCCAAAATAGCCCCGGGGGCGATGTCTCGCCAAAAAGTTTGGCCCCCGATGGTGGAGGGGAAGGCGGGAACTCACCTGCGTCCGAGTCGCCGACACCTAGTTCTGAATGCTTTGGTGGTGGGGGCGCCAAGCTTGACGTGGAGGAGGATAGGTGATTCATTTTCTCTTTCCCTATTCTAGCCTGAGGATGTTTTTTTGGTTGGTGCTTCTTGTTATCATTATACCTGTTTTTGCTTGTTTCCTTCTCTCCTCTCCTGGTTATGTTTGTGTTTGCGCTTTTCATCGTTGGTGGTTCTGGGTTTTCCTTTGTCAAAGTATTCTCAATTTTTTTCCCTCTCTTTGAGAGTCTAGGATTGCATTGTTTGTATCAAGCTTGGAGGGTTTCCCTGCTTTACTTTTTTTTTTTACTTTTTTTTTTTACTTTTTTCCGGTTATGATTACAGTAACCCTATGGCTGTTAGATGACTTGCATTTGAGGGGAATGGAAGCACTCTATTTTCTCCATGGTGGCGTGATTTCTTCATATCGGCGAGTCGCACTATTATACCAACCACGCAGGCGGGTACGAGTAGCCTAGTTGGAAAGGTAGGTGAGCGCTCGTCTATACATGAGATGATCGGAAAGAAACTCCCGCGCTACACGCAAACTGCAAAACACAAAGGCCGTATCCGTGCTCGTACGTCTATGCCCCTAAGGCAAATCCTCTCCACCTTCTACCGCAGAGTAGATCTACTCGGCCCGTACAGTGCAGTACCGAGTTCCGTACCACTTTCCCAACTCAACCCACGCGAGGAAATTATGTGATGCGGCGCCAGGCCAATCTCAGATCAGTAAGATGCACGCATGCAAGAGCCACCTTTAGCACAGTGCACCCGAAGGAAGATATCGCTGACCAACAACTGGGACCTTAACTTTTAAGCCTTTGGTCCTTTGGTGATTTTTTTCATTTATGATACCCCTCCCCCCTCTTTTTTTTTTTTTTTTTTTTTTGCACTATGGTAGGTATGATACGTACTCGGGTTCTATGAGCGAGTGGGGAAAATGCATGGAAGGTGTGTGGTGGGTAGTCGGTTTGTTCTTTTCCGTTGGGGGGTCACAAGCTGATTTTATGTTCCCGCATGTGGGGGGCCGGGCAACGTCTTTTTCGATATTAGATATTCTGCGAGGGGATGTATGATATTACCGTAGTTATAATAATTATTATTATGTCGATTTTGGCCCCCCCCCCTGCGTGGGTACTGTACAGTACCGCAGTAGTGTACTGTAAGTTTTCGATTGCAAGAAGAAGAGAGGTATGATATCACAAACTTGGGAGGGGGGAGGGTTGCTTTTAAATTGCCGATCGTTTGTAGTCTATGTATCCCCCCCTCTCTTGATAACTATAACCATCAGAATACAAAAATTTGGATAATCGTCCGAGTGAGTTGTTGTGACTTATACTTTACTTATGATACCGCGCTGCAGCGCTGCAATCGCCCTTCTCCACCCTAGCTCATCATATCACACTCTGCCCTGTTGAGGGGCCGCTTCGTCGTTATGTTTAAATACTTGTCCACACATGATAAATAATCAAATAACCAAACAAATAAATAAACCCGCCATGGGGGTGGGGAGGGCAGCGAAGACGACCATCAGCACATACACTTCCCCGAACAAGATGGGAATCCTGCCCACACAACCGTACGATACGGCAAAAACACAGATATCGCACATCCCCACTACCTATATATCGTACCCGGTCTACCCACAGGTTCCCGCGCCGTGCAACGTATGCATGTAAATATATAATATTACGTATCTTCCCCAACCACCGACATCTCTCTCTGTATACCAGGGCACGGTGCAAATCCCTGGACGGAAAAAAAAGTGAAGAGAAAGGAATAACGTATGATATAAAGGCCTTCTGTGCAAGTATCCGATAATAGAAACAACGCCGCCCGTTCGTTCGCATGGATGGGCACTTTACGGGTATGTGGATATATCGTAGGTATACTTATGGTGCGGAGCGTCCGTTCGAGCACTGGACTAATATATACAGTCCCACCCTGTGGTCAAAATCCAGTGTTGGCGCCCTGTCCCGGATAGCGAAAAGACGGAGAATCGAGTGGTGGTTGCGTAGCGATATGTTACGGATATAGGGATGTGTGGAAATGAGCTGAGGTTTGAGTGAGGGCTCAGAGCATATCTTTGTGTAGAATTGCCGGATTGGAATCCTCCAAATGCGAGCTGCGCTTACATATGGGAGTGAGAGGAGAGAGGCCCGTTGATAGTGAGGTGTGCATTTCTAGGTATCTTGAGCGAATCCTGAAAATAGCCTCCGGGACGGCGAATAATCCGGGAGAGTGAGGTCCGGGACAACGGGGTGCGACTGTGTAATACTATACTTCATTCCTTCATTCCTCTCTCAATATCAACTATGATAATATTATTATGTCCTTTTTTTTTTTTTTTTCCCTCCTCTCACCTCTCCGACTATGCCGCCAATCTCTCCCCACCCTTTGTTTATTTTATTTCATTTCTTCTTCCCCTTCCTCCCGGATCGAGGATATAAACCACTTAATCAGAATCAGGCTTCACACCATTCTCTCTCACCTTCTCTCAAAACCATCAATACCATAAACGAGTGATTTACCATGTCATGACTAATACAGACAATACTAATTTATGCGCGCGCGAAAAAAAAAGAAAAAGTTTTTTGAAAAGAAAAAAAAAAAAAAAAAAAAGTCAAGGGATCCAAAACCAAGGCCTTTGACACAAACACAAACAGCAACATGGCGCAGCGGAAGCGCGCCGGGCTCATAACCCGGAGGTCGCACGATCGAAACGTGCTGTTGCTAGACTTTTTTTTTTTTTTTTTTTCTGTTGTTGAATTTTTTCATTTTTTTTTTCATTCGAGAATCGGGGATAATGATAATTACACGTACCCGCACGCGCGATAGCAGTCAATTTATTGCAATACGGTAAGGTTTTCTTTCCTTTTTTTTTTTTGGGAAGGGGGGGACAAATTTGTTGTGCCTGTATCAGTCGTGTCTCATCACTGGCTATGAGGTGATGATGACCGACTTGGGGGGTGGAGGGTCATGGTCCAATGTTGTTGGTGTTGGATGGGTTTGTGTCAATTCCTTCTATTTCATCGGCTATCGTACGAAAGAGGGACTCTATAACGAGGAGCATTATCATACGATACGACTATTGAGATGCACTGGTTGTCCCGTGGTATTCACAGACAGTTAAATTTCGAGTGATTACTGGTGCACAATTATGTCAAGTGTCCAATTACAAAACGCCCCACAATTGCTTCAGCAAAGCCGAGACAGAGACAAGTGCTAGAAAGCAAGGCATCAGACGAGAGGCTAGAAAGGTAATGCAAAATGCCAAGGCATGTATGGACGGATTGGCATGGCTTGATGCTATGGTATGGGCAACCCCATGTTACAATACAAGTACACTAGACGGGAGAAATGGCGAATTGGGATTACATATAATGGAAGGAGAGAAAGGAGGAAAGCAAGAAATATTTCGGTGGTGCGTACTTCGGTGGTACGTGGCAAAGTGGTATAGTCAAGTAAACAGAGCATCAAAAACAAAGGAAGGTTTAAAAAAAATAAAAAAAATAAAAAAAAGACAAAGTCCTCCAAGTACCGAAAATGGGACACCAACAAGAGCGGAAGATAGATATCTGGTTTGTGACAGGAGAGCACGGTGACTAACTGTCAGTCCAGGCGTAAACTGGAGAAAGTAAGTTGGGGTAAAGAAAAAAAATAAAAAATGCGAAGAGTGCCCCGACAAAATCCGGGGCACCCCAATTCGATCGGAAATCACCAATCACCATCGTTTCCAATCCCATTAGTAACACTGTCTGCCCAGTCTTCTGTTTCCCCCGCATCGTCGCCGGCATTCCAACCTCCTTCCTCGCAATCAAGTGCAAGTGCGTCGAAACGATTGGATATCTTTCGTTCCGGTTTCGCTTTAGGCTCCTGTTTTGGCTTGTACGCCTTGAGATCCGGGAGAGAATTTGCACATTCATCCGCACCAAACTCAATTTTAGTGCCCTTGTAATACGCCCTGGACTTGAGGCATGTCCTAGCGAAGCAGGCTACACAGACAGAGTTAAGGTTAACTTGAACAGAGTTCCTGGTCTTGTCAAATTCAATCTTTTCGATGGAAAGGTTGGCGATGTGGTCGAGGTCATCCCTCAAGCGGGCCTCGGTCAATGTAGGGGGGATGTTTTTCAAGTGGAGATTGCGGGTGGCACCAGAATGTATTTGACGAAGTATATTTGGTAATACAACAAATTGGCGGGCTTGCTCACGCCAGTCGACGTTGACCTACTGCCATTAGTTGCCATTTCTGACGTATCAAACTCTTGGGTTAAGTGTTGAAGCTTACCCTGCGACCATCAATGTAGACATCATTCTTCTTTGCATATCTATAAAAGGCCTCAGCAGATTGGGAATGCAAAAATGAAATGGATCCACAGTGATCGCCTGGCTTCATCCAGGCATCGACAACCATTCCGCCCCTGATGGCCCCTAGAAAGCTGGTATATGTGACCTTTTCGGGGAGACGTGAAAAGAACAGTGTTCTATTTCCAGCGGAATCACCTTTATAGCCATTGCTGCCCCCACCCCCACCTCCCCGCTTTGGTCCTGGAGTATCCTGCCTTTCAGTTCCATCGCTACCTGCATAATCATCCGGTTCTCGACAACTACCACGACTGAGCCTGCTGCTAGTGTATTCATGGGAGGGTTGACTCGTGTAATGTTGCGGCTGGGTTCGGAAGGAGGTCGACGATGTAGTTGGATAGCTCTGAATTGCGGAGGAGCTAAGTTGATCGTAGTTCAAGTTGACACCGCCATTCTCAGAGGGCGTGGGTAAGGGTTGAGAATCTCTATCACCATTCCGTTCACTGGGGTCGTGGGCATCTGTCTCGTCAAATCCCGCGTTGATAAGGAGCTGTCGGGCAGAATGTTAGCGCAAACGTGCAAAAGGAGGAGGTAGCAGAAACCTCGATATTCTCGACTGTAACACCCCCGCGGATAAGAGCAGTACGCAGGGCCTCTAAATAGCCATGTTATCAGCCATCCCTGGTTGGAAAGCGACGAACCTCTCGGCAACCCACATCCCGGCAACCCGCCATAAGATTCTGGAGCAAACAATAGAGAGGGGATATTACTGTACTCCTTTGCTGTCTTGACCAAGTCCTCGAGGTAATCTCTTGTAACTGCTACGATATTCGTATTCTCGTTGTGGTCAGGCTCACTCCCATGAACCTGCCTCAACCCGAATCAGCCTCTTTTTTTCCTTTTTTTTTCCGTTCGTTTGCACTTTGCCTCACGATTCGACAAAGCTTAAAATATGGTAGCAAACTCTTGGATGGAGAGAGAGTATTCCCACTTACATTTGCCTTCCGCAGAAGGGTTTCAAAGTAGGTTTTATCAATGGTAACAGTGGCAGACATTGCGGGGTGGGGGGGGCGTTTAACAAATAGGAGTGATCGAGGGAGGATCGGATCAGGAGAGAAATCCTGAGAGGGGGGAGGAGGCGGTGGGGTGCTGGGCGGGAGGGAAAAATAAAAGAGAATTGTCGAAATCGTCTGGGGTCGTCGGGAAGGGTAGCAGCAACCATAACAGGCTGGTCCACAGCTCACCAACAGTCTCGGCGGCGCCCAGTCGTTTCGGCTCAGTGGCAGCCTCCCTACCGGTACCAAGCTTTTTCTTGGTGCTAACGACGACGTTGGGGGATTTGCCGTACCAGGGCATTCCTTGTACCGTCTGCGGATCTGCACGGGGGGTGACAATCTGCAGGTGAGGTAGGTGCACGCCAAACCTAAAGAGATACGGCACCTTCATCGCTTCAGTCTCATCTAGCACCCATCCATTTTTTGATATCACGTTAAATTTCTGCTTTGATACCTCTCAGAGCACGTTATCGGTCCATTAGAAACAAATAGTCTACATTTTTCACATTGGTGGTGTTGAGTGGAGGGGAAAACGTGGGAAGGACTAAAATGATTTGCCCGTTGTACAAGTACGTGCTCTATCCACTAAGCTGAGAAGAGGGGGTGACCGATAATATCAATGGGGTTTCATCTGGTATCGATGCAAAGAGGGATAGAGTTCGCACTCGTATCATGCGGAGTGCAATTCATCTTCCATGATAGTAACAAATATAATCATCATCGAGGTGCTAGCATTATATGGAGAGCAGGCTGTTCTGTTTCCGGGTCTTGGTTTTACTGATACGTTGTCGGACTTCTATTTATGCGTGTGGGTACGATACCGGTACGTGAGGTGGTCTATTAGAGCGGGTATGGAATCATTTTCGAGGAGTAAAAAAGTTGGGTCGATGGGTGATGATGAATTGGTGGGGGGTTTTAGCCCCGGAGCTCCTATGTTGGCATGGTACTGGCAGAGCAATTTCGATTTTGTGGTGGAGGGAGTTGTGCCGATAGACTATGTTTGAAATGGCGTAATTCCATTTTTTTCCTGGTCAGCGTGTGTCCACCGGTGTTGTCGGCGGTTGGTGGTGGTGAGACAGAGCGGGGATTTTTTATTTTTGTTCGAGGCTTTATGTATCGTGCAGGCAGCACCCGGCTGCACACCAAAAACGCCGATGTGCGAGTAAAGAGGGCTGCTTCTGTGGGGACCAGGGGAAAATGATAGGTGTGGGAAGTCCTTCTCCGCACCCAATTTTTCAACGCATCCTTCGGTACAGCGCCCTGCACTACCGGTACTCGCATAGGTATCTCTAAGTATGGTTATGAGTGATGTGAGTGATGCGTTTTGACAGACCCACATTACACTGTACTGTGCTTGTGTTTTTCGAGAACTGGGTACCGGTATACTAGCACTGCTCGGTGCCAGGCTTGAACGAGACACCACTCAGTTGTCGTACCGTCGTACCGTACTGTACATTGCATGGACTGGGTCCGTCGGTGCGGTACTGTACCATAGGGTACTCAGGCAATCGAGTATCGTAGGAATTCGGAACTAGGATATCGTAGTTCGTTTCAAGGCTAGCTTAGTTTCTGCTTAGGTTTTGGGAACAGACGATACGTCGAGTATCCTATCACAGGGTACCGTTGTGGTCTTGGGCTTGTTGTGTGGACTGGACGCCGATACCAAAGCACTGCACTGGCGGGAACCTTTATGGTTCCCGGGACTTTCACACGTGTTGTGTTAGGGATCAGATCTACGGCACGCTGGGTTGCTTGCGGTGGTGTACCGGCGCTCGAATCCAGCGGTATTGCAACAATCAGACGACCTATTCATGCCTCTCTACTGGATTTTTCACAGTAAATTGTTCCGTGGGCAGTTGCAGGTTGGTCTGGAGACGATGTATAGCGATATCACAGTAATTTATTAACGGTATACCATTGTCTCACACTCGTTCCCTTTGGTGCCCGGAGGTACAAGTGCGACAATCCTTGTCAGACATTTTGCGATTGACAGGTCGACCATCCTATGATACCGACTCTTAGTGGTACTACCGTAGCTTTGCCGAGCCTTTCCTTTATCCTGGCCTTAACTTCCTCGTCCAAAGAGATCTCCCCTCAGGAAGAAAACCTTACTTCACTCCCCCCCAAACAGAGCCTCAGTTTCTGTTGATCGAGTCAGGTAACGAGTGAGAAGGCGCGATCACCATCGCTTCCCGCTTCTCCCCTTTCAGCGGAGTCGACATCACGTCAGGTTTAGACTACCGTACTATGTTGGTCCCACCGTAACTCCCCCCCACAATTTCACCCTCTTTTTCCATCATAATCTTCAACTTCCCACCTTAAATATTCCATCAGCTTCGTAGCTTTACACATTCATTTACCCTTACGAAGCACTTCACCTTTCGCTTCTTGCCCTCTCCGAAAGAGACAATTGAAAAGGGAAGCCCTAATTGTTAACCCTCTTACCTCCTCTTCGTTCTCCGCCTCGGCATAAAATTCGTCGCTCCTCCTTGTTGGTGCTGCCTTACGGTGTCCTCATCCCCATCCATCTTCTCTATAAAACTCTCCTCCCATCCCCTCACCACAACTCTTTCATCTTCCCCCCCCTTCCATACCTCGCTTTCATCCGCTCTCTTTGCGGAGAGAATTCATATCCATCTTCCCCATCAATTCATTTTCTCTACTTTATTTTCTCTGAATATAAATTTCTCCCTTCCCCTCCCCTCCCCCACATCCCCCCCCACATTTTTCCTATCAAATTCGAACATTGACTGTCACAAGTTTGATTGCGACTTTGCGTAAGCGAGGGATAAATTGGGTAGGCGTCTAGAAGAAGAAGAAATACCTGTTCCAGAAGGTTTGTATTTTTTTTCTTTCTTTTTATTTCCTTTCTTGTTCACCGCATCCCGGTTTGCGCTTTCCGGGGGTGGTATCAATATATCATCATCAACCTCCAAGTCTCCGCGGTGTTCAACAAACATCTGGAACAACCTTCTATTCTCATTATATTACCTTCGCATCGCGGCCTCAAATTATTTACTTCTTCTCGTTAACACATTTTTGTCAGGACACTCTTCGAGCGCCATTCAATCTGTCATGGCTCAAAATTCAGGAGCCGCTGCCGGCGGTCCTCGTTCAAAACATTCAAATGGCTCGGTTCTCTGTGATAAGTGGTATAGACATGGTAAGCCAAGCGTAACGGCTTTTTGCGCAGCCCCATATCCCTTCATCCTCACAAAAGATCCTTTGGGGATGAGACAAGTTTTATAGCAGCCACTATAACTCTACACCACTTGATTTCCTTTTGCATTTACTGATCCCAGCTGCGCGATATAGGGAAATGTAGCCGTTTGGATTGTGGGTTTGCCCATCGTGATGCTTTGCCGGGAAAAGATATTATTCCGCCTTGTCACGATTTCTTTACATTAAAAGGTAATGATTGATTTCCTCGTTTTCGAGCTAAAAGCGAAATGCTGACATAGTGTACAGATAAATGTTCCCGGGGAACTAACTGCAAACTCCTTCATACTAAGGGGTCTACACTTGTCCCGGTCAAGGGTGCTCCAAAAGTCTCAGGATCTAGAGGCGGTGGGAACGGCGGTAGCTCCTTTCTGCCCTCTGACCGTCCCGTTTTTATACTTCCAGAAAAGCCAAAGGCCCGTGAGAATGACAAGGCTTCCACCATCGCCAAGTCGAAAACTGTGCCGGATTCGTCCGGGAGACCAAGTGGCGGGGAGCGCGGTGGCATCGTTTCTCAAGCTCCGACAGGCCCCACTTTCCACGCGAGAGATTCCAGACGGGAGAACAACAGGGGCTCTCATTTGACTCAGGAAAGGTCCATGGCAGTTAAGGGAGACAACAAGGCTGGTGCCGTAAACGCACCGCGTCCTTCTCCCAAGCCGCCTGTCGCATACTCGGACCACGTACACAGTATCGCTCATTCCAAGGAGAGAAACGACTGGAGAAACAGAAGACCACTGCTCACTACACACGGCACACGGACAGCTCCAAGAGAGGCCAAGGCTGAATTGAGCCAGTTATATGATGAAGCTGGCGACAGCAAGCATGGTGGGGGCGTGTCTTTGGAGATCCCGGGTCCCAAAGCTTCGGTTGCCGATACTCTACCCCCGAATTTTCACGCTACGGGGCCGAAAGTTGACGTCGCTAGCAATACTTCAAACGCCACGAGAGCAGATAATAACGCTAGATCTATTAGCACCGGGCCCGCTAAAACTGCCTGTCAGGCCAGGCCTGCCACTCGGGATAGTTCCGGGTATGGGAGTTCGTCGAGCGGTGGATGCGGTTTTCGCAACTCCAGGGCCTTTCCGCCTGCAACGGCTGATCCTGAACGAGTGATGACCAGTGACTCTAAACATTTAATGGAAGTATCTCAGACAATTAGTGGAGTTATTGAGCCGAAGCCGCCTATTTCGAGCTCGCTCAAAGAGTTCCTAAAAACCCCGTGCGCCGAGGGCTTTGGTTGTAACATGGAGGAAGACGACTTATTTCAGAGATCAAGCGGTGGTGTCCGCCTCCTAGACAACTTCGCAAGGCAATACGCATCAGACCCAGATGCTATCCAGAGGAAATACGGCCGTCTGTGTTTCCTCCTTCGAGCCGATCCGGGGCGGGGCTTCCCCCGGCTTAGATACATTGTCGAAACGCACCGGTCTATGTTCTGGCAGTTAGATCCGGTTCGTTTGCGCGGGGTTGACTCTGGAAAGATTAAGCCCGAGGCCAACCCGAGGGATGAGACAACCGGCGCTCTTGTTCGGAAAACCTCCAGTGGAATTTCTATTCCGGATCAAGATTCCTTGGGGTGGGAATCTAGGGATGTTTCTCAGAACCTGCACCATTCTCACAATCAGGTCGTTCGTACCACGAGTGAATACACTGTCTCTACCGGCAGAGCTCCTCCCCGTCCTGCAGAAGCTGCTCCCAAGGAGCACGAAGGAGGCTATTCATCGAAGAACCTACCGAGCCATGGCGACCGCGTATGCGCCACCCCAGGTGGCCGCAGGGGCGCCCACTCAGGAAACAGGTGTAATGGCCAATCCCAGGCCATCCTAATGGATGTCGATAGAATGCCCCTTGGGAGGAAGGGTGGTCCTTTTAGTGACTACTCAGGGGCTACCACAGTGGTCTCTACAAGGACCTTGACGGGTAGAGATAAAGCCGCGACTGTTGAATCCTTAGATTTAACCACTTCGAAGCACGAGGGGCTTCTTCCTGAAAATAACGCCACCTTTTATCCCAATGCGAGACCCCCTGAGCGTGCGAACGATGAATCTTCTAAGGAGAGTGAAGAGGGGGGAATTCAACTTGACCCCGTTGTCAAAAAACAGGTCGCACGGGATGTCTATACTTCTTGCGGGGCACCAGGTATTGCTGCGGGGGCGGTATTGCCCCCTTCCCCCAAAGACTCAGCGCCTTCCACTAGTTCTGGTCCGAGCTCCCTGCCCTCTTCGCCACCGAGCGGCTCTGCCCCTCCGTTGGAGGTGAGGCATCAACCTACTGGACCGGGCGACGGAGGGTCTCTCACTGCTGGGAAAACTGGGGATTGTATTGAATCAGCAGAAGGTGAGTTAATCAAGAGCAGATCCAGTGTTGCTAAGGAATTCTCTACCGGAGAAATTACTGACTATGCTGGGATGGCAGTACCTCAAATATCGGAAAAGCTCCTCGGGCCTCCCGGCGGCTCGCGGGGGTCTTGCTTCGCATCTCGAGATGTATGTGTATTTCTCCTTCCAAGCCTTTCTCCACTAACAATGCTTAAGGAAGCCAAGATGGCACTTGCCGTGAGTCTGCAGAAGCCTGGCCAGTTTGCAACTAAAGGAGAGCCTGATCCTCAGCAAAGTGACCCGGAGATCCAAGAAGTCCCTTCGTGGATGAATGAGTCTGATTCCGGGAACGAGACTCCAAGTGTTTGGGAATGGGAATGGGATAAGAAATCCTCCCAGACTGGCCTCACCGATGACGAGTGGAATGTGGGTGTTCCTCTTGATCGAGCTATTATTGAGAACTTTGATGGAGCAGCCGAGAACAAAACCGAATCCCCGGTGTCGCTTGGAGAGCGCGTATTTGAACTACCCGAAGACCCAGGCAGCGTCCCAAACCCCCGGAACCATGAAGCCGGGAAATCGCGCTATGCGAAAAAGTATAGGGCAAAAGAGTCAAAGGGATCATCTGGGGCGTCTGAAGGCAAAGATTGCGAGTCACCTATGTTAGCAAACCACGCTAGTGAGCCACAGGCGCCAGGAGACCACGTTGTCAAACAACCTGTGCCGGAACACAAAGCTAGCAAACCACCTGCGCCAGAAAATAAATCTAGAAAACCGTTCGTATCGCATCACAAAGTCAGCAAACCGCCCGTGCCGGTAAACAGAGCTAATGAGTCAACCGTGTCCGCGGGGGTCAATGGCAATCTGGTGGCATCCGGGGGCCACAGTAGAGACCCACCTAGGTCCCGTAATAACGGCGATGCTGGCGCACCCACTTTTCGCGGGCGCCCCTCTGGGGGTTGTGGCGGCATTAAAAAGTTACCGGAGGAAATACTACATGCGATATTTAGTTATGCCGCGGACGGTGTTCTACCAGAAGTCCAGGTCAAGACCAGGGACCTCACATACGGGTCCAGCTTTGAGGTCCCCTCCTCCTTCAACAAGACTCGATATAAAGGCCTTCAGAGCGTTCTCAGGACTTGCCGCCATTGGCGCACTCTTGGTCAAGAGATCCTGTATAAATACGTCAACTTGAATGAGTGGTCGAATCTGGAACTGTTTGCACGCACTTTATCCCACGATCGGGATATAGGAGCCTTGGTCCGGTCTCTGCGGGTATCTGTGCCTCCGTTTGGCTTACGGGCGAGCTACCAAAGCTACAACAACCGTGATCGCAACTCCAGGGCTGTTGTCGCAGAGCAGGTCGATGCTTTCCATTTGCTGCCGGACATAATGCAGGGATGCTCTCTCATCCACGTCATGTCCATTGATATGCCTAACGCGGTTCCTGTCTTCAACAAACTAGTCTCGGCGCAGAAGTTCCCAAACCTTAGGGAGATCCGTATGAAGGATAGGGGCGAGAAGATCGCAACAGGAGAGAGAGTCTGGGAAAACATTATCAGGAATGCGCCTGAGCTGAGGAGGCTTCTGATTACTCAAGACCAGGATCTTTCTCTGAGGAATGCTCCCACATATATCAGGATCCCTGGGAATATATTCCACTGTGAAAAAGCGTCCACTTTCAAATTGACCCAGATTCACCTCACTAGGTCCTACCAAATTAGTGATGACATTCTCCTCCTACTCTGCCGGAAACTTAGTAATCTAAATGATTTAGACATTGTCGATTGTCCGTTAGTTACATCTAGAGGTACGTTCCTTCCTGTTTTGCTGATTTTTACCCTAGGATTGTCATGACTAATAAGGGTTTTTTTTATAGGTATTGCGCGGGTGTTGGAAAAAATGCCCAACCAGTTGACACGCCTCTCATTCTGGATCTGGATCAATCACTACGGAAATGTATCCAAGAGAGAGCAGGAAATTGGTGTAGACCTCTGCCATGCCCTGAGTAAATACGGCCAGAGTCTCCAGCATATGGACATCAAGATCTTTCTTGCATGTCATCATTTGTGGCAAGACGGATTCCGCGAATTGCAACGGTGCCGTATCGTACCGGTCCACTACCATGACTGTGTGAAGCAGGAGAATATCCGCTCATCCTCCTTCTTCAAGAACGTCCTCGACAAAGGTCGCAGTGCTGGCAAGTTCCCTGCGTTAACGGAATGCAGAGTTTGAAGGTGAGGACTCTTTCTCCCTCATATTCCATCGGATGTGTGCTCTAACGCAACTTCTAGGCTAACAAAAAAAACCAATTTCTACGCTTGCTGTGCTTTTTGCTTACTTGACTCTGGTTAGAGAAAACAAAAAGAAAAGAAAAATGAGAAAGAAAAAATACCGAAGAGAAAAAAAAAGAAAGCAAAAGCAGGAGGGAGATTTGAGGAGCATATCCTCACCTATGACATGAACCACCACTTCTATTCCCAGAGGGTGGGTCTCTAGGTTGATGTGGAGCACGCCATTCCTATCAATTCCAAAAAGCGAAAGGCAGATGTAGCGCAATGCATGGAGTTAAACCAAAATGGCGGGATTGTACAAAGTCACCATGTTGAGAAACAAAACGGTTCTTCACCGTTTGGCAGGGAATATAAATGGCTGGCAAAGACGTTGTTATTATCATTGGGCTGGAGTCTTTTGTTTGTTTTGTTTGTTTTGTTTTGTATTTTTTTCTCCACTCTCTCCTAGTTGTCATTTTGCTTACTTTCTATCTGCTTCCAAATGCGGTGCCTGTTGGAGTTTGCAATATTTGTGTTGGGAATTAGGACGGTGTTTGCGGGAGAATGGGTGGTTGGACGGGGTGGAGGGGCAAACGAAGAGGTAAGGGAATGTTTACATGCGGGATAGATGTCGTCTGGTCTAATCTAACTCCTTATAGTTTTAATTTCTTTTTTCTTTACTTTTTTATCTTTCACCTTTCTACTGATGTTCTAGCTGTATGGTGTCCTGGTGCCTAGAGTACTTACTCACTGAACATCAGTTCTTGTTTGCTCTGACTTTCTTTGAAGTCCAAAAGTTTGCAATGGCCTTTTTTTAATTTTTTTCATTCCTTCTACAAATGCGCGATACATTACGGTAGCCTAGATATAGTGCAATACATGAAGGACTTTTTTTTTTTTTTTTTTTTCTTCCTTCAACTTCTAAAGGTGGGGTACTCGGGGTGATGGAATGTTGGAGAAAGTCTATGTGTGCGCAGCTTGGTATGATACAAGTAGGAGTACTTGGCGAGCGCTTGTAGGAAAGTGAAATGAAACGAAGAACAGACATGATGCTAGTGAAGTTCCGTGATTCGGTATTACCTTTTTATCAGCGGAGGCCGCGGGATTCATCCAATACTACCGGTAGGCGCTGTACCCGACGATACTCATTTATCATACCAAGTAGGAGTATCACAGGCAGTGATAAAACAACTACCGGTAGTTTACCGTGTTCTCCTTCAATTTCCATCCTACCAGGGTACAGTAGACCTCCACCCTCCGCAGATGAACAGATGGATGGATGGATGGAAACAAAGGTGCGTATCATATCTTATTGCACCATGGATTTACGAGGCCGCAGTAAAAAATAATAATAATAATATAATATTATAATTATTATAATAATCGTATTGTAAAAAGCTATCTCCGCTAACCCCATACAAATCTCTATCAATACAAGGGTTGTATTCGTGCAAGTACTGTACTCGTACAGTATCATATCTCCCGATATTTATCAGCAGCACAGTTCAAGTACCTGCCCGAATACCTGTACGAGTACCATCTCTCATCATCATTCGTCATCATAATCCCGAAGGGGCCAACCGCCGCGACGCAACCCGCGCAGTACTCGTACTCAAACCCTTGGCGGACAGGCAGGAAGGGCAGGCAATAAGTAATTATGATAAATCAAGTTTACAACTTGGACTTTGATACCTGTAAAGGAATGAGAGCAAGGATTCGCAAGATATGGGGATCGAGTCCGTCGGTCCCATTACAAATCCACGACCGGGGGGAGACTTGGCAAAGAAAGAAAGTTTATTTTCGCATACATACATCTCGACAGACAGACCAGTTATTATCATCATCATCATCATCATCAAGTTTTATACAGTACGAGTACGATGGACGGGACTCCCGGTATCAAATCATGGTCGCCCGGTAGGCTATGCAAAAATGCCAAGTACTGTAGTGAAGTTTTGCACATTCGGATGGTTTATAAAAGTAATTCCATCCTTTATGCGTTGGAAGATAGATAGAGAGCTACGCAAGGCGTTTGCGGGGGTGGTAAATTATATCGGTATGTACGCGTATTGTATTGAGCTGCACTCGGGTCCATTCATTCATTCATTCATTCATTCATTCATTCATGCCTTGTTGTTGCTCCTGCTCCGGTAACTTTGTTTAACTGACGTATGAATGGGGAGGGGTGTTTGTCACTCCCACGGATCTGTCCGCCGTCAGGGACCACGAACGGTAAAAGCGGGACGGGACCGATACCGCTACCGGTGCTTTCTTACTTACCTGCTTACAAGTACTTGTATATGATACTATCTACAAGCACTACCTACGTATACTTGCACCGTGCCTTATCAGTCGCAGCATGACTGGCTGTGTCTATCGCCGTGCACTGCACGAGTTTGACCTCGACTCTACTCGACCCGAACTCGAGTTGGGGAGCGATGCTTAGGATTGCGCACGAGTTATGGAACTTTTTTACCCCTTCCTTCCCATACCGGTAACTCACGTCTCCGAGAAAAAGAGAGAGAGAGGGTGGTAATACGAGGTGGAGGAGGAGGAGGAGCTGAAATTGACATCTCAATTGTGTGTGAGCGTTTTTCATTCTTTCTTTTCATTCTTGCCTTTGATTGTTTTTTTTTTTTTTTCTTTCTTGGCCATACGATTGGGAATTTGATGATATTCAAGTTGGTTCAAATTACGGCCCTTCCTCCTCCCCCCGCTTCATACCGGGCTTGGCTTATTACTGTGCTCGAGTACGGTAACTGTATCATTCATTCCTTAGAAGTTGCTGTGTTGTGTTGTTGCGCAAAGGGTGGAATGTACCGTGGGAAAGGTGCAATATCTACGGTAAAAGGTTTTTTTTTTTTTTTTTTTTGTTGTTGGGGCGGCTAACGATTGTGTCGATGTGGGTGGTGATGCCTTTTTAATTATAGTACTAGAGTATTCATTCCTTTTGGTCTTGACTTGGACCGGCTTGGCGAGATACCAGTTTTTGGTGGTTGGTTGGTTGGATGGATGGATGGACGGATAGATAGTCTAAGGTACGAGTACTATACTCAGCCGCACACTTTGTGAGAAATGTGTATGGAGAGACTGCGGGCGTGCTGTATCGTGATAGTTTATCAAATTCACATGGTCGCCATGGAAAGAAAGAAAGATAATAACAACTTTTCAACACCCAGGAGTTTTTTTTTTTTTTTTTTTTTTTTTTTTTGTTGTTGTTGAAGAGCTATTGTATCATACCTTATAAGGCTACGATAGCAAGATACTTACTTACTTATGAGCATAAGTCAGGCGAAAGGGAAAGGGAAAGGGGGGGGGGTATTCAGTTGTTCAGTATTCTGTGAAGCGTAATCATAGAGACAGCCAATCTTGGCGGTATCTCCTGGCCTCTTGGCGATTTTTTCGAAATTCTAGCTTCTAACAAACTGACTCATGAAAGCCAATGAGAGAGAACCATTTCACCACCTCAACTTACCGGTACCCGGTAAGATAACTGTGCTGGCACTGGTTATCAATCGAATTCGCACCACGTCCTCCAAATATAGGTAGGTTAATAAAGAAATCCACTGATAACAACCTCACTCACTTTTGTGGGAAGAACAAAAAAAAAAAAAAAATACTGTACTCGTACTTGTAATCCTAACAGATCGGAAATCAAATCAAATCGTCACTAGCCAAGCCCATTTCCAGTCCAGCCCGAGAATGTTCTGTTCTGTTTCTGCACTTTATCATGAATCTAAAAAAAGAAATTGAAAAAAAAAAAAAAAAAAAAAGCAAGGTCACCCCCCCCGCAAAAAAAAATAAAATAAAAGGAGCCAAGAAATTTTTATATATTTTGCGGCTCGCATCAACTCAGCCCCAAACCCAGCCCATCCCAGCCCAGCCAATAAGCCAATAATCTCCCCCGTGCGTCAGCAAGGGGGGTGAACAAGTTATGATACTAGTTACAAGGTACCGACCGGTTACGCACAACGCGAACCTACGGTACCCTTAACACATTTCTTTTCCACAGGCTTATTCTTGCAAGGGCTGCGGTAGTGCACTTGTAAGTCAAGTGCTGACTTGGCACATCTATTCAGGTTTTGCTGTCTTGTTCCCCTGGGATATAAAAGGCTTTTTGTATACCAGTTACTGTAACTGTTCTTACTTGTACTTGTCATTCCAATGTCTCACGGTTGGTTCTATTCCCCCGCTCCTAACTGTACTCGTACTCGAGTAACCCTCCTCCCCCCTTGTCATTCTTGCCGTGTGTTTCTTGGCGGGTAAGGCCAAGGGGAGGAGGAAGAAGAAGAAGGCTGGTTCACATATAGTAGCCAGTCATCGTGGTTGGATTTTCGTCTCGTTGTTCACATCGTTATAATTGCTTTTCAGGTGTGTGTGAGTGTGTGGGGGGGGGGGGAAGGATTGTGCCTTACCGGTATTGGAAAATTTAGAGGAGTTACTTGGTATTGGTAATACATAAGGCGGAGGAGGGTCAAGCTCCCTATCATACTCTAGCTTGGTTCCTCTTCTTTTCTTTTCCCATAGATATATATATGAAGCGGTGTCCCTTCTCCCTGCCTTCCTTTCAGCTTCTTTGATCTTTTAGCTCTGTCTGTCCGTCCGTCTGTCCAGTTCGTTGAAAGTTTTTTACTTGTGCTGAATACACAACGCCATCTATCGGACCATAACAGTAACGTAACACACACGACTGTACGCGAAGAAGAAGAACGGAGGTTAGGGAAATGGTTTCTTTTAAAAGCTTTCTTGCTACGGCCGTGATCTCTGCTGGTTTGTTTCTCCCCTTTTCCTTCCTCAACTTGCCTTGCCTTGCCCGCCTGTCGTTTGCCCGGACCGCAGCGTGACAATGCACACGGGACAAGACGAGACGAGTAAGCGTAGACTGCTAACGGAACTTGTTTTCACCTTGCTACAGCGACACTCACATACGCGCAGAGCTCGTCGCCAGTGCAAGGCTTCACTGACCGGAGTTCGACCTTTGTCGCCAACTGGAACCTCCCTGCTTCTGGGGACGATGTCTTCTTGCATATCCGGGGGCCTACGAGCGCAGGATGGATCGCGACGGGAATTGGCTCGGCGATGAGCGGTTCCTTGATGTTTATTATTTACCAGAACGGGGAAGGGAATGTTACCTTTTCACCTAGACTTGGGACGTAGGTTTTTTTTTTTTTGCGCAGCTCTTTTTGAGATTGAGGGTGAGGGGGTTTAGGTGCTGACGACGAGGACGGGGATGATTTAGGGGTGAAGTCGAACCGAAATTCGAATCGTCAATCCAGTTCGAACTGCTCGAGGGCACTGGGGTCCAGGGGGAGTTAATGACCGCAAACATCAAATGTTCCTTCCCCCCTTCCCTTTCCCCCCCCCCCTATCTGTTCTTCCAATAATCACGTACTAACCGCTCCAAAGGCAGTAATTGCAGAACCTGGGACGGCGGTAGCCTTGCCGTGACCTCGACAAACCAAAACTTCATTTGGGCCATCGGTGACCAGACGGTCACCTCAAAATCCCAAACCGAAACCCTCAGCAAGCACGTCCGTAATGGCTTTTATCGCCTCGACATGACACAGGTCACTGGCGGCGACTCACCGAACCCGTTTGTGAGCGGCGACTCGGCCAGCGGTACCGCGTCCGGAGGAGCAGAAGCGACTGGGAGTTCGAGTTCGAGTGGTTCGAGTTCGGGTCGTGGTGCGAGTGCGAGTGCGACTGGGGGTTCGGGTGGAAGTAGTACTAGCTTTTCGCCGCCGATGACGAAGGGTGATAAGGTTCTTATTGCGCATGGTATGGTATTCAGTCTTGCGAGTTATGCTATTTATTCTTGGTTGTTGTAGGATGGGCTTTTTGGTTGTTCCTCTCTATCTTGGTGTGGGAGTGATAGGATTTTCCCGTACGATACTCGTCTCTGTGCCTGGATTGTACGCTCACAGCTGCACCTTTCTTCCAACCTTATCCCATAGTGTTTACTCTTTACTGTCGAGGAGTTTAATTGTCCTTTTTCTTTCTCTTCCATCACTACCGCACATTCACACATTCATTTCAGTCATATAATACCCGGGGCGAACTTCCTTTTTGTTCAAGCCAATTACAGAAAGGGAAAAGCCTCCACTGATTCACTTCCCAATTTGCCTGTCCCGTGTTTGCTTGCATTTTGAAAACGTCAATATCAAAAGAAAGAGGAAAGGAAAGAGAAAAGAAGAAGAGAAGAGAACCAGATAATAATCAAAAACCATGGTGCACATATACAGGTGTCATAATGGGCGTAGTCTTCATCCTCCTCTTCCCCTTCGGCGCGGCGCTGGTGCGCCTTCTAAACAACCGCATACCAAACGCCTTCGCCCTCCACCGCGGCTTACAAATTCTAAACTTCATGCTCGCAGTGGTGGGCATGGGAATGGGCATTTGGCGGAGCAAGATATCCAATTCTGTACCTCCCTCCTTCCTCCCTCCCCCTAGTGATGAAGGATAAGAGTAAGACAACCAATAGACTAACAACGAACAATAAATAACACAGCACTACAAATTTTTCCACCAGTACTTCGGAACTATCATAATTGCCCTCCTGCTCGTGCAAGCCATGCTCGGCCAGCTCCACCACAACGTCTACCTCAAGACGCAGAAGCGGAGCTTGTGGAGTTACGCTCACATCTGGCACGGACGCTTCGTCATTGTCGCTGGCATAGTCAATGGCGGGATCGGATTGTCGCTGCCAAGGACTGATGCTCCTCAGAGTGCTGTGGTGGCGTATTCGGTGGTGGCGGGTGTGGTCGGTGTGGGATATTTGGTGTTTTATTTCTTGAAGGAGAGGAGGAAGGAGGTTGGCGTTTCTCCTTGATTTTTTTCTCTTTTTTGGCTTTCCCGAATTTGTGTTTGCGCTTGGGATGAGGTGGAAGGGATATAGTTGTGGTTAGTATGATGGTCTTTGTTTCTTGTGTTATATGGGTTTCGCAATTGGCGATGGTGGATTCGATATGATATCCTTTTCCTTTTCCTTTCCTTTTTCCTTTTTCCTTTTTCCTTTTTTTTTTTTTTTCATTAAGCCCCTCCCTCTCCTCCCCTCCCCTTTCCCACTCCCCCACAGAGTACCATATGATAGTAGGAATCAGTCCGATCTAATCTGACCCGTCTTTACTCTTGATATCGCCTCCCATAATACCCAAATACCGTCCCCCCCCTTCCCCAATCCACACTTGTTGTTGAAAATAGGAAATGAACCAAACCTCCACGGCGCACGTGGCCCTACTGCAACCCCCGTGCAAGTGCTGTACACACTTCCAGTTTCTCAACGCCAGTGATGGCGTACCAGCCTGATAATCCATACGAGTTGTAGGATTGTTACGGGCGAGGGGATGCGAAGGAGTATCATTCGTAGGGGGGTGGGCAGTGGCGTTGAGGTTTGGTCCGGTCCGGTTTGGCTTGGTTTGGCTTGTTGATAAACGGGGGGGGTAGATGGGTATATGGGTTGGGTCGGGACTAAGTTATCATTCTTGTGTCTTTTTTTGGTAGTTGGGTACGGACTTTATCATACCACATTTGCACACATATCGGGTGCTTATGGAAAGGTGAAGGATGTTTTTTTTTTACTTTTTTCCCATTACTTTATGATCACGTGAGGATCTTCAGGGTTTGCATTGCATTGCATGACATGGCATAAGTTACTACGGACAATGTACCGGTAGTCCATGATACGATACGATACCCGTGTTGATGCTCCTCTTCCTCCATGCTCAATTACTCGACTACAAGCACAAGGTAAAGAAAAAAAATGTAGTGATCAAACCTGACCTTGATGCGTCAGAAACAATGCCACTACTCCTTCGCCTTTTCTATATCCTTGGTCCGCTCCAGAATAGTGCTAATCATCTGGTTCCCCACCTTCGTCGCATCCGCGAAGCGTGGTGCAAAGTATTCTTGGGGCATTTCGAAGCGCTTTCTATATGTATCGAAGTCACCGAAACTCACAGCGTCACTCCAGCCCTATTTTATTTTACTCCGTTAGTGATGGATTGTATTTGGGAGTGCTCCACTTTATTTCATGTCCTCAGGGATGATGATAACGATGCGATCGAGGATAAGTATTTGGTTTAGTTTAGTTTGATTCGGTGGGGGGCGGTGAAAAGTACGTTTATATGGGGGTTTTGGGTTTGGTGCTTCTCTTACCCTGGCCGCAAAAGTAAATTCTAGATCGTCGGAACGAAATGTTTCATCCTCTATGGCGAAACGGATGCAATCGTCGAGAAGATCGGGCTGGCGGAAGAGATATTCTGTTGCTCCGAGCCAGAGCCGGAATAACTGTTTTTCCGAGGGTTGAACAGAGGATTAGTCTTGACAAACAATTAGATTTACCCCGCGTAAGCATGTGGGTGGGGCGGGGGACAACGGAGACGCACAGGTGTAGAGCAAATAATATGGTCGTATGGCACAATATTGCACTTGTGCCAGCAATCCACCATTGCCAGCAGACTCAAGTGGCTGTTCGGCTTTCGTTCATGCAGAGGCACCCCACTGAGACTAAACTTATCCAGGATATCATCCCGTAACAGAAGCTCCTGATCCTTTTGCTTCCCGAAAACGAATTCTCCAGCGGAGCGTATCCTTCTAGACAGTTCTTCCTTCTTGCCTTGCAAGATTAGCTTGAAGAGCTCCGTGGCCGAGGCTGCGTATTGCCGTATCTGCTTTTGGGCGGCAGGATTGAGAATCGCTAAACCTGCATACACGTGCCACTTATTGCTGTAGATTCTTAAAGTGAGGTTTATCTTGATGTTTTCTATACCGCCTTGCCAGCGGGTTACCTCCCAAGGGAATTGGTTATTTGCTGCCCAGGCCGTCCCCATGCTAAACTTCTCGTTAGATATTTCCCGTCTGTGCAAAAAAGGCCTTGGGAGGGGGGGAGGGACCTGAGGAACGCCGCGTGTGTGACTGCTTGTGTGTCTGCTGTGATTCTGTCATGCTCCTCCGCACTCAAGTGAACCAGCTTGGAACGAAAGCAGGAGAGAATATCCTCCACAAGCTTGAAACTTCTGTCCGATGCCCTGTGCCTTATGATAACCTATGAATTATAACACATCAGTTGACCATACATAGCTCCGTGAAATGCAGACAAACCAAGGGCTGCCCAGCAGGATCAACCGTTGGACCATGTAAAGAGTGACAGGAAACAATGTCCACATCAGGAGGAATGTGTTTTTCGAAGGCCTTGATCTCGGGAGTTTTGCATGATGTTTGGCCGCCGACGATAGCACCTAGTTTTGTCGCTGTGGTCAAAGTCAGCTACCCCTCCTTTGTTCTTTGAGAGGGGCGGGTACAAGGTCCATAAGCAGCAACAACCGTATCAAGTAGCTCCGCTTCGACAGCGTATATGATATAATCGCTAATCCGGGAAACTGAACGGCCATTTGCATAGACATGTATATTCTCAATTCCTAATTCCCACTCGTCAGATCCTCGATTAGCTACGCCTCATCCCTCTCCCGGACATCTCTATTACTATTACGGGGAGTTGAATTACGTACCAGCAAACTCTTTCTTCAGGCTCTCGAACTTGTCTTCCCGATCGCAAGCGTTAACGCTTCAAAGCTCCGCTTTAGCACGATCCGAAAAGAGGAGGGGGGGGGTGCTCCGATAAAGAAAGTGAATGGGGAAGGGAGAAAAGTCAGAAGGGAAGGAAAGAAGATGTGCGACAAACCTCCAACCTTCCGCTGCAATCACCCTGGCGTACAACCTCCCCATATTCCCCATCCCGATAATCCCCACAAAAACATCCTTCCTGCCCGCCATCTAGCAGTTTTCCGTGGCCGTGTGATTTTCACGAGCTACCGTATTCACCAATTCGGGGATAATGCTATACCACAGCACACAGCAGTGAAAAGTACAGTGAAAAGTAAAATGAACGGGTGAGTCCAAATGACCGTTGCGGGAGGAATGGAAAACAAGTCAACCTCTTTCTCAAAACCCCCCCCCCCTGGGCTTATATCCCCTCCCACCCGATTCCCTTCGGTTTGGCCCGATTTGGTTTGTTGCAAGAACCCTGCCCCCAACAAGCCTTGTGCCTTACTAGCACTATATCATACTTATCCGCCCGCTTGGCATTGGAGAAAATGTTCAACTTAGCCTTCACAAGCGATCACTCGTGGAACACTGGAATCGAATCCAATAGTCTTCTAGCCCGGTCAACTATTCTGTTCGAGCTGACGTTCAATTTTGCACATGGTGACACAGGGAAAGTCGGATTGGAGGGCTCCAACAAAGATGTGTAATATGATACAATAATATTACATGGCTAATAGAGGGAAGGGGGGATAGCCCAATACTAAATTGGTGATTATTTGGCAAAGTAATGTTTACTCGAGTAAGTGGAAAGCTCATCCAGACAAAAAAACAAATTCTCAACATACACACACACACCAATCAGATCTACACAGGTAGAGGTTGACAATTGGAGTATTTGAAAGCGGATTTCTTCAAGTGTTTCACTTGATTGGAATTTAACCTCTTGTAATACAGTATCATAATTTGCTCTTTTATCGTATTAAAAATTCCCCCCAATCCACCTGAAAGTGTTTGGCAACACAGATGCACACACACACACACCATGCAAACAGCGGCAATTAAACCAGCCTTGTGCGGCAGATTCTGTCATATAATACTATACCGTTCTATCGATAGGCAGAGTTTCATCCAGAGGATCCTTTACTCGACTACTCCACCTTCCGCTTCCGCAGGACTACTTGTAAAAAGTACAAGCGACACGCTAGGTAGGATAAGGCCAATTGCGGGTACCGGCATACAACACAATCATTTCTCCGCTGCTTCTGCTGCTACGAGTACTACTGCTGCAATCATACTGCATCGTACAGCCCCTCCCCCACCTTCCCAATCCAATCCTTGGCTGTTAGGCTAATTAGATCAACATGGAGAAGAAAATGAAAGAGGTTTATGTCCTCGCTTTTGGCGGGGGATATGCGTTGTATCATAATCATAGCTCTATTTTTCTTCGCGCCCTAAATTTATTAGTTTAACTTTTTTTCTTCAATGGCCGTCGGTGCCTCCTATCCATCTTAACCTATGCAAGAGTCCACACCGCAATTGTGTGTCGCAGCAACTACTGTGCCCCATGGTCTCGGCCGCAGGCTTCACCTTGCGCACTGCTCTCTGGGGCGACCACGCCTTCCGGCCCGCGAAAGTTTACTCCTCCCTGGACGAGATCGAGGACGCCTCGGTCTACGACTACATCCTGGACACGACAAAGTCCCTACCCGGGAACCTTCGTTGGCGGCCAGTCCCCCCGCTCGCAGCGATATCCCTGCCGGAGAGCCCTCCGATAATCCTGACCCCGAACGGTGTAGATGGTATCAAAGAACCTCCTTACCGCCTCGCCTTCCCCCGGGAACCCCATTGCCTTGGGGATGCTCTACATCACCATCTCGCAGCCGGCGCCAGGCGAGATTTATCGGGAAGGCAAGGTGAACGATCTACGCATTGGCCCGGATCACCTTCTCCTCGAGGAGGAGCAGGAGAAGATACAACTCTTCGGCGACGCCCTTGGGGCGTCATGTAAAGTAACTGTCTGTAAAGATATCAGATACGAGCGCTGGCATAAGGTTACCTAGAACGGATCCGGGAAGACAGTTTGCGCCGCTACAGGGTCGGACATCCAGTCCCTGATTAAGAGCTCACCAGAGGTGAAGGAATTGGTTATTGATTTGCTCCGGGAGATTGTCGCAACCGCAGTGGCAGTGGGCATTAAGATAGATCAAATTGACCCTCTGATTGAAGATCTTGGGGACCGGGCGCTTCAAGCTCTACCCATCGCACCTAGTATGCTTCAGGATGCACGGGAGGGGACCCAGACGGAGGTTGAGGCACTGTGCGGGAACATTTGGAGAGATGCAGAGAAGGCGGGGTAAAGACTCCTAACATCAAGTATGTATAGTGCAAAACTACCCCAGTATGATACCTCCGAAGTGACGAGACGCCCTTACCGATAGCGTTTGTCTTAGGTCAATTTATACCATTCTTATCAACCATGAATTGGCATTTCAAGAACTCGGTCGAGAATCCGTAATGTATGCATCAGCAGATCCTTGGGGTGTAGATACCCTCTGAACCTTTTGAATTCCACATGCCTCTGCCGGTGGTTGGTGGCTAGTTGCTTCTATATCCACACTTTCATGTATTATCACTCACTTTTGCACATTTGAGGCTTGGGTATTTGATGATTACAGAGGGGGTGGCCTGAAGCCTCAAAACTCGTCTGGATTGCGATGGTGCCTGGCTGTATGGCATACAGCTGATTACCCTAAACTAAACCAATCCCAGTCGGTATTCGCCCATCCCTCGCTCCCAGAATGCACCCACATAGGCTGCGGAAAACAAAAGCAGAAACCAGACAAATAAAACGCCGGATATCCTATTTTCCAACATGCAGCATAAAAAAATAACCTTCGCCATAAAATGCAAAGGTACGACACGAATTTATCACTCGTCGTGGTCGTATCCTTTAGGCATACCGTGCTCGAGGAGGTCCCATAGCTCGTCGAGACTACTGACTGTCTCTGCTGGACTCGCAACCCATCTATGGATAATTGGTGAGCTCATTGTCATCCACACAAAGGAGAGTGTTTCACTTACACAGTCGTTCCGGCCATGCGTGCCTTAAAGTCATTGTGTCCGGCCGATAAGAACTGGTCTGGGAAGGTTAGTATTTCAAACAGGAATATTTTCCATCTTCAGTACTCACCGCCAATGTGCAAAGTTTGACTGCCACTAATATTCCCAAAAAATCTCTGACAGCACCGAACACCAAGTCTTTTGTCCCCAATATCAACAAATACATCGTTCCCACCATTGAATGCGCAAAACGGAAGCCTGCGTCCGATATCACTGAGCTCCAAGGTCTTTTGCGCAGCAAGCACCGCTTCTTCCAGTTGCTCTCGCTCAAACTTAACGTCCGGAATAGCAGGTATAATCCCGACAGCTCTCTCCTTTCGGAGGACGATAGCCTCCAGCTTCATAGTAGATATGGATTCCCTGAGGGCGGTCTCTGCAATATCAAGGAGGCGTTGAATATCTGTTTCTGACCAAGTGCGCATCTCGTCCAGCTCCCAATTCTCCCGTGGCTCGGCAACAAGGAGTGTTGGGGACGTGGGACAAGATTTATACAAGTAGGAGCTCTCCCCACCAAGAATAATGAGGTTGCTCTTTTGACCTTCTGTCAAATCTTTCGAAAACTTGATGGCATCTAGAAGGCCGTGGAGACGTTCCATATACTTCACACTATCGGTATATCCAGCTGCCGTCACAATGCCGATGTAGAGTCCCCTCTGCATCAACTGAAGTATCCGTGGTATGACTGGGTTCGTAGGAACGAGGCATTGACCGTCATCATAGAGAGTAACATCACCATCAAAAGTAACAAGCTTCAAAGGCCCATCCAAGGTTGTCAAAGACATGATTTGAGCGGTATTAAGAATCAACCGTATATCATTGAATGAAGGGGCAACGAAGCGGCGATTTGATATAGATCTGCGAGCATCTTGTGCTACAAAGGCCTTTTCGAGAAGCAGAGGTGTGAAGAAAGTTCCCACAGAAGGCACAAGAAACCGAAGTTTCGATCGCTCGGGGGTACCAGCTCTTTGATAGGTAACTTGAAAGCTGTTAGTGGGCAAATAGTGAATGAGGGAGAGACTATGTTTTCTCATTACTATGGTCATTAATAAGCTCCTCAACATCTTTCATGATTTCACGGTAGCGACGGCCAGCTTCGACTGCCATGACCCGGAATGAAGCATCTCCGGCTACGGTAGTGGGCTGGGAGTGCAGAACAAAGGGCACTGCCAATAGGCCTTTAATAAATTCGATGAGGGCATCACGGCGATGAGCCTTAAAGGAAGCAGAGAGGAGCATAAATCAGTACAAATATCCGACAGTCGGGAGAGGAAAAACAGTGAGCAGTTGGGAAATGGGGGGGGAGGGGAGCAGCATTATTTCACCTTAAGAGCATATTCCACACGATATCTGCACACGTGAGACCAAGTCGTTAGCTGAGCTTCAAAAACAGTACACACGAGAGCCCACTATCTTTACCTAGTGGTCATCGCTGTTGAGGAAGGGTGGTTTGTGCTATCCGGCTAGCTATGTTAGAGTTAATGAGCTTGAAGCTGCCGGAATTCAGACACGGATGGTATCTCAAGGGGAAAATGGGGAAAACCCAAGACCACCCCAACGAAGTGATGAGTTGTTGGCCGCCACCGATAGCGCACCGTACCGGCCCCCGAGACGATAAGTACCGGTAGTGGATAAGCACAAGTCGTGCAACAGGGGGGGGGGTAAGAGGTCAGAGCGGCAGAAATACCAGTGAATATAAATGGGCGTGGTTATGTAGGTTTCTCCTCCTGTGTTGAGCAGTGAGGCAGACGCAGAATCAGCGGGGCGTGATTCATGTATGTACTAGTACAGGGAGTCGTATAGTTCCCAGGTGACGACTGCACTTATCGTGGACGGTTAGAAGTACCAGTACGAGGGGGGGGACAAAGGGGGATTTATTATACTTGTAGACAACACTGTGAGAATAGTATGATGTAGACTAGTCATTCTGCTCTGACGTTCACAGCTGGACTCTGCCGGCAGTATTGGGGACCTCCTAGGCAAACCGAAGGAAGCCGCAAATTTGTTATCCGGCCAGGGAACTACAAACAGGCACAGTAATCGTCATCTTGGTCACGCGCATCAGACCCCGGGAGTGAGAGGGAGCAAAGGATGTGCAGTCCCAAGCTGGCCAAGCGAAAAAGGCACTCGAGCAAAGAGGCCTTGATAAAGCTGCTGAGGTAATCATATCTGCCAGGAACGAAATCATGCACGTCTGGTCCCCGATTTCCGATGTCCTTGCATCATCCAAGGCAATTGGCTACAGCTTCAAATCTGGCCGCTTCCCCAGCAATGCACAGTACAGGCATTGTACTATACCTCTCTCCACTTAATTCGCTACCGGTACCGGTACCCTGATAATACCTACAAGTATTTACTCTCAGACATCAGAATCAGCATTACAGGGCAAAAAGGGTCCCTACAATGCTGCCTCCCGTCGTGTTCGTAGAACTTTTGGTGAAGAAGCTCCGTACTCGCCACCGTATTCGTAGACCGTATTCGTGGAAGCCAAGCTTTCGCCCTTTACCCATTAGCACTGCCGATCTCCAACAGGTTCCGCAGTCTTGCCTAAAAGGGTTTCTCCCCTTGTCCCCTGGTCACAACCCCTTTCCGCCATTGCATAAACCCACGTCTTTCTTTATATTTCACCGTTACCCGCCGTTTTCCTTCCCTCTCCACGGTTCAACGCCTACACTTTCGCTACATCAATTCCCCTTTCCCCTTTCCCCTTTATTCCTTCTACCTGCTTTCCAACCATTTTATAAAATATCGGCAATGGCACCAACAAAGCTCGAAACTGAAGACCACGGCCGTGATGCTGCTTTCAACAGAGCCATGCACGGCAAGTCGGCTCAAGAAAAAGCCGGCTTCTTGGCTATGCTCACGAAGGATAAGGAAGCCCAGGGTGCTGCTGTCGATGAGTACTTCAAGTTCTGGGATGGAAAGGGTGCCGGCCAGGAGACTGAGAAGGACATGAAGGTTAGCATTCCTAGTAGGTTATGGCTCTGTTGCAATTCTAACTTTGACATTCTCAGGAGCGTGTTGAGAGCTATGCTACCTTGACCAGACAGTATGTTTCAACATTTCGCCTCATGTTCCAAACCCACCGGGCACATGCGGGAATTGTGAACTAATGTCATCTTCTGTAGTTATTATAATCTTGCTACGGATCTGTACGAGAATGGCTGGGGTCAATCATTCCGTGAGCTACTCTTTGCTTCTTTGGAAAAACTCGAGAATAGTATTAATATCTCTTGACAGATTTCTGCCGCTTCTACCCTGGAGAACCCTTTTACCAGGCCATTGCTCGTCATGAACACTATTTGGCTCATATGATGGGCATGAAGGCGGGAATGAAAGTTCTTGATGTTGGGTGTGGAGTTGGTGGTCCTGCTAGGGAGATTGTCAGATTCACGGATGCCAATGTCACCGGATTGAACAACAATGATTACCAGATCGATAGAGCTACACAGTACGCAGCAAAAGCTGGATTGTCCCACAAATTGGTATGTTTCAAAAAGTTCCAACCCATTCAACCGACGTCTGCTAACAGCAAGTTCCAGGACTTTGTCAAAGGAGACTTTATGCAAATGTCTTTTGAACCTGGAACCTTTGATGCCGTATACGCCATTGAGGCCACCGTACATGCTCCTAGTCTTGAGGGTGTCTATTCTCAAATTTTCAAAGTGTTGAAGCCTGGCGGTGTTTTTGGAGTGTATGAATGGCTCATGACCGACAATTATGATGCTTCCAACGCCAAGCACCGCGAGGTTTGCCACGGCATTGAAGTGTACGTTACCCCCCCCCAGCTTGTTGGTAAGATTTTTAAGGGTTTAAAGTTAATAATCACTAGCGGCGATGGTATTTCACAGATGGTCAGGATCTCAGAAGCTCTGTGCGCCATCAAAGCAGCGGGTTTTGAGCTTGAATTCCATGAGGACCTTGCCCAGAGAGATGATGCCATCCCCTGGTACTACCCGATTGCCGGCGAAATGAAGTATGTCCGTAGCCTCGGAGACTTCTTCACTGTCCTCCGCATGACCAAACTTGGTCGTGGGGCAATTCACAAACTTATTGGCGGACTGGAGACCATAGGGGTCGCCCCTCGGGGGACACAGAAGACTGCTGATTCTCTCGCTGTTGCCGCCGACTCTCTAGTCGCTGGAGCTCAGGTACCTTTCCCTTCCCACACACTTCTTTTTTTTTTAACTTATTGAGGTATGACTAACAATTTCTAGCTCAACCTTTTCACACCCATGTACTTAATGGTTGCCCGCAAACCTATGAATTAGATAAACGGTGGGATATTTCTCTCGGGGGGGTGGGGATAAAAGGTGTTTTGGCAATGGTCTCTAGAAAATATTAATGACTCACCAGTCACGTATAATAGAATTTCTTCCTTTATCATGATATTCCATTTATCCATTACTATTGTTTGGGGGGGGGTTTTCTTTTTCTGGAGTAATAAACTCGGGTTAATGGAACAAATTTTGCCGCCTCCCATTCTCACTGTACTAAGTTAAATTCTTGGAATTGGACTTAATGCGGCGCTATCCCGATGATATTGTATTTTCTTACACTAGATGACTTCAATGCCTATCTCAAACACTATCGACCAGCCCCACACTACAAGTATATCGATTCAATCAGTTACACGTTGAGGCAAAATGAAATCACCTACCTATTATAATAGTTGTGTAAATTTCGTTTGCTACAGTAACAATTTATTAGAATCTGGACACCCAAGACACCTGACCCACTTAACCCCCCCGCCAGCCCCGCTCTACCGAGTGATGAATCATGGTTCACAAATGCATACGGTGTCGCTGGCTTGGGATTAATCCAAGCACAACTAGGTGTTTATCACGTGAACACAACAGGAACCAATCCTTGGATACACGCATATACCCAGCGAGTACTTGCGTGGAATGGATATGGATATCGTGGAGTGAGCACAAATTTATATAGCTGACAGAATCAAAAGGCCATCCATCCATTTCTACCCCACATAAACTCTAAAATAATAACAATAACGAAGAAAGGGATGAACGCTTTTTAGGACATGAACTTGCGGGGCTCTATGTAGCTTTGCTTTTTCTTGGAGCAACCCAAAGGACTTCATCATCATCATCATCATCATACCCCCGATAGATATAAATATAGGTGTACGTTAAGATGTAAAAACCTTGAAATCCTCCACTTTTGCATTTCCCTTCTTAACCAATTCGCCGACAGCTTCTACCCATGTGCTCTTAATGGCGTCAGCGCCCCTCGTACCGCTGAGGTTCCTAGCGAGAGTTTGGAGATCCTCGTTGTCGATTTTCGAGATGACAAGCTCGACCTCGCCAAGGACCCTGTCAATAACGGCGGGGGTTGCGTCCCCAGATGCAAAGTAATTAACATCCTTGACGGAGCCCTTGAGAACGCGTCTGTTCTTCTTGACAGCGTTTTTGGCCGCCTCCCTGGCCTTCTTGGAGTCGGCTTTTTGTGCCTTCTCTCTAGCTTCCTCCTCCTCCTTTCGCTTCTTATCCTCCTCGGCCTTGATACGGGCCTCCTCTGCGAGTCTCTTTTCCTCAGCTTCCCTGGCATCCTTCTTTGCGTTTCGTAGTTTCTTCTCTTCTTCGCGGAATTTCTTGATTCGGGTGTCTAGGCTTAGAGCGTCGTCAACAAGCTTGCGTAGTCGAGCAGTGTCCTCCGTCTTTCTCTTTGCGCGGGAGGCATTGTTCTTGCGTTGGATGTAACGCTTCTGATCACGGTTCTCATTGTCATCCGGGACCTCCTCGTCGAGATATTCAAACGTACGCCAGGAATCGAAATTGTACCAGAAATTGTAGAACTCCTCGACTTCAGCCTTGATGGATTTGTCATCCCCAAGTTTGGGCACCGGCTGCTTGCGAGAGAAACGACCTTCGGACTCAAAGACTGGTCCCCATCCCTTGTAGAAATTACCCTTAGACTTCTTACTGGGTGGATCACGGTTGGCTCCTTCGTCAACAGAGTCGAATTGGCGGCGCTTGACAGGGTCCGAGAGAATTTCCATGGCTACAGGAGGTATTAGAAATGAGATGGGAAAAAAATATCGTGATCTCAAGCAAACCTTTTTGTATGCATTTGAAGAAAGAATCATCATCGACAGCTCCAACGGCGGCTTTCTTATCGGGGTGGTGCTTGAGAACCTTCTTACGGTGAGCCTTTTTGATTTGCTCTTCGGTAGCCTTGTAGCGGTATTTAGAGAGACCGAGAACGGCGTAGTGATCTTGGTTCTAGAGTAAAATGATTAGAACTATCCAGTTTTTAGAATGCAGTTTCAAATTGTTTTGTTACCTTCCAATCCTTGGGATCACGAGAAAGCAACACAGGGCTTTCAGCCTCACTGATCTCTCCAGCGTCCTCATCCTCAACGTTCTTCACATTCTGCTGAGCTTGGATTCGGTCATCTTCACTAAAAGTGCGAGAATGACGCTTCTGGAAATATTAAGACAGGTTGTTAGCGATATTAAAGAAAGGTGCGAGGGCAAGTTGCAGCGAGAAACACATACTCTGCGGGCGTGGGCAAGGAAGTGGGGCCCCGCTGGTGAGAGATTTCGGTGAACTGCAGGAGAGAGTGGTGCGTGGACAATAAAGTTGCTTTCAGAGTTCCAATCTTCTGGAAGAGTGGGGAGCGGTTTCGGGATTTTCACAGAGGCCATTTTGGTTGTGATAAAAAGGAGGAGCCGAGGGGGTTGTTGGATAGATGAAGACAGAGAGAAATGGATTATTGACTGGGTGGGGAGAAAATTCCATGAGGGTTGTGTGGAAAAAGGAAAGAAAGAATCGTCTAATCGAGGGCTAGCGCCGAGCACTGAAAGCAAGCGAGGGGTTCTTGAAGGAAAAGTTGTTGAAGACTATCATGGATCGGCTTCGGCGTAACAGAATTTATCTCTTGCCTTTTACCAGAGATAACCATGCGCTCGAGCACCAGCGATCCTTATATAATCTTTGGAAACCTAGTCGCAGAGAAGCGAGTTCGACTCCTGCATCCATCTTTTTTTCCTCTAATTTATTTTTACGAAACGAGCACGGTAAATTACTGTACCGTACGAGTACCGTACCAGTGCACCCTCTTCTCTGCTCGAGTACCCCTGCCATCCTTTCCAAGCTACGATTATACATGCCAAGGCCCGGATCCCACGTGACAGTAACATTCTAGCTCTGGTCAGCCGAGGTTCCTCTTTCCGATTCGTACGAGTACCTGTACCCTGGGGCCTGATCACGACTCTGGAGTTGTCTCAAACATGGGTATCATGAGAACGTTACAGCTTCTTATTCTTTTATTGCCATTGGCAGCAGCTATACAGCCTTCAGCACAAGATCCAGTGCCAGGGCAGAGATTTCGGCACCTTAAATGGGGTTCGATTAACTTTTTGCACACAACAGACAAGCTCGTTTCCAACTCCTATTTTGAAGCTTCATGAACCTAACATAGGGGATAAATAGTCATGGTTGGCATGCCGGACATCTTCAGGAGCCTCAGTATTCTGCGGACTTTGGGGATTATCTATCGTTCACCTCGCATCTGAGGAATATTGCGGAGGAGAATGGCGTGGATTTAATAGTCCTGGATACTGGTGATCGCGCCGAAGGTAAGAATCTATCTAGGACACCTAAAAGTATTACTAACGCAATTATGACAGGGAATGGGCTGTGGGATGCTACCGATCCCATGGGAAAATACACCCGGAACTTCTACAGAGAGCTTCCTCTGGATATCCTTACTCTGGGAAATCATGAGTTGTATAACGGCACTACAGCTCAAAATGAGTTTTTGGAGATGGTTTCTTATTACGAGGTGATATTCATTGGCCCTCGACGATATGGCTAAATGCTAATGCCTTTTGGGATTTAAAGGGAAGATATCTTGCGGTGAGAGCGCACCCCCAAGGGGCATAAAGCCTGTATACTGACCAGGGGTTTAGTCAAATGTCGATATAAACGTGAGCGGGGATTGGGAGCCTTTCGCCGCCAGAAGCCGCAAGTTTGTTACTGAGCGGCAGGGCTTCAGAATTATTTCTTTTGGGTTCCTATTCAACTTTACCAGAAATTATAAAAATACAAGAGTGAAGACGGTATGGATAATTATGGTTTCCAGTGCTTGTGGTGAAGCTCACATGGCGTGGAACCAGGCTGCCGACACGATCAAGGAGTCCTGGTTCCAGGAAGTTATCCATGACATAGACGTGGATTTGTTCGTGATTATCGGGCACGTGGACATCCACAGCATTGAGTTCACCCAGATTTTCGAGGCAATTCGTGAAGTTCACCCGAACATCCCGATCCAGTTCTTTGGTGGCCACTCGCATATCCGGAATTTTAGAATTTTGGATAACAAGTCTACCGCACTGGAATCAGGCAAGTACTTCGAGACAGTGGGATGGCTCAGCATCGACGGAATTAAGGCTCGAGAGGCCCCCGATAACACAGATAATACCTCAATGGTCGTTTCTAGGAGGTATATCGATGTAAACAGGGCTGGCTATCAACACCACTTGGGGAAGAATGCTACCACCTTTGACACTCCTCAGGGATTGCTAATGACAGAACGTCTTGCCAAGTACCGCGCCGGTCTGGGCCTTGATCGCCTTATTGGGTGCGCTCCGCAGGACTTTTCATTGAGCAAGTAGGTTTCATCCCCTAGATCGCTTTTACTTAAGCTCTGGCGGTTTGATATCAACAGACACCCGCCAGACATATATATCCTGGTCCACAGAACTGGTACAGCTACCTGGAAGAGCACATACTTCCAGTCATGGTCTACAACAAGGAAAGGAGTCAAGTCCCACGTTTTATATTCATCAACACTGGATCTCAAAGGTCTGATGTATTCAAGGGTAAGCACAAGGTATACCAACACCCGCATTGGCCGCCCACCCTAATAAACGACCCAGGGCCCTTCACATACGACTCCAGCTTCCTCATTTCCCCGTTCACCAGCAAATTCATCTATGCAAAGGACATCGATTACTCCATAGCCATCCACCTCCGAGACTTCTTCGAGAATGACGCGGGCCCCTACAAATCCTCCGACAAATCCGAGAACCCGCTCGAAAACCGGCAACAAGACACCGCAGAGGTAGACATCCAATCTTCGCCATTAGTCAACCACGACCAGGCACCACTCACCCACTCCCAACCTCGCCACAAGTACTCCAGAGTGATCGGCTACGCAACAATAGACGATGCAGGCACCGACGGCGACGACACGATCCACATCCCGCTAAAACGTTACCCGACCCCGAATGTGATTCAGGGCAACGCTTCCTTCCCTGAAGACTGGGAATCCTACCCCCCGGCCAAGATCGACATTGTTTTCTTCGACTTCATCGCCTGGCACGTCGCGGCGGGACTTAATGAAATTACCGGCACCAAGGATTACTCCACAGAGGACTTTTTGCCCTACATGAGGCAGGAGGATACGATGACAAAGCTGCTGTTGGATTATGTTGCCAAGTATTGGGGGCGTGATTGTTAAGCTTGATGGACAGTATCATACTTGTAGGATATGGAGGGCTTTTCTTTTGAGCTTGGGGTAGAAGAAATGAATATAACGCCTACAGTACTTGTAAGTTGGTTGGGGGGGGTTTTTTTCCCTTCAAGTATATTATAAATGTATAATAGGAAATCTTCGGCCCCGGTAGTAGTACCAGTAGGATAGTAAGGGGATTTCAATATCATAGACAGCATCCTGAAAACGAGAGATCACGTTTCAGTCATTCGCTCAAGCCAATATCATACCACGAATTGACTCTCCATTCTTCGGTCGGTCCATTCAAATCCCCCCCTCAAAAGTAACCAAAGAAAAACGCAATACAAGAAAAGAAGGAAAGGAAAGGGTTTTGGAAAAACAAGAAGTTCTGTTTTGTAACAAAAGAAAGGTGGCAGGAAAAAAATGGACAAATATAATATAAGAACCACCGGTCACCTGCCCATCATTCCAACATCACCTCCCGTCCTATCCCATCATACCCCTCCTTCCTGCCTGCCTGCTCGTCCAATCCGCAATCAAGAAAAGAGAAAATATATTTATAAACCCGATAACAAAGACAATCCGCAACAACAATAGTAACTATGATACTTTAAAAATAAAATAAAATAAAATAAAAAAAACAATAAAAAAGACCCCCTCCCGGAACCCATGAGGATAAGATAAAAAACCATCACAAGAGGAAAGAGAGAAAAAAAGAGAAAAAAAACTACCAAACCAATCGGATACCACAAGCGTATATGAATTGAACGTGTTGGGGGGAAGAAGAACAGGGCATGCACGATAGTTATCAACGCAACAGTTCAGTAGAAAGAGAGAAGAAATGAAACGAAAAGATAGGGATGCATCATAGGGTTATCCATTACTCTGGTTATTTCGATCGGTGCCCCTCTTTCCTCGGAGAATACGCTCGGGAAGCATGCGAAGAAGGGTCATTCGGGGATTGGCTCGGAGAGGCAATTACTTGGAAGAGTTTTGGAGAAGTTGAGAATGGAGGAGAAAAGGAAAAAGAAAAAAGGTTTCTGAAGAGAAAATAGGATGTTTCTTTTTTTTTTTTTTGTTATAGCTTTTTTTATTCCCGTTTTGTGTAAGCCAGGACATGTTTGACCCCAGATGTTTCCGTTCGCTTTGGCTCCAGTTGGAAGAGCTATTTGAAGTTCTTGAACATGTCACTATCAAGACTCGAGAACCCACTTCCGAAGAGATCATCAGGAAGTTTCGGCGGGGGAGCAATCGACTGTACGGTTTGCTTCCTGGCTGGCTGGTGAAGAGACGAGGAGGCATTGATGTTGTTCGGGGGTGGAACTTCCTGGACTGGGGAAGGAGCGGGTTGGGTCTTGGGCTTCTTCCACCAGGAAGTCTTTGACTTGATTGACCCACTGGAGGTCTTCCTCTTGCTGTCGCGAGACATGACAGAGCCCGTTGGCGACATTGGGCCCGAAAGGACAGAAGCTTTGTCGTCGTCTTCACCGTGGTAAGGGGAGTTCAACGAGACGCGAGATAGGAATCGACGCATTGAAGTGGGACGTCCAGGAGATTGAGGCGGGGTGGTAGTGGATGATGCGGCGGCGGACGAAGCTTCCAAATTTGAGGGGATCACTGGCGGCTTTTCATCGTGAGAGGAGGAGGAAGAGGTTGGAGTTAGCTCTTCAGCGGGGACGTGGGGCAGGTTTGTGCCTGAGGTAAGGGGTTCGAGGGGAGTGAGTGTCGGAAGTTGAAGATGAGGAATACTGGTGGATGGCGGCATTATATCGAGCTGTTTCCGTTCTTTTATTGAACCGGTGTGGTGGGTTTTTTATTTTTATTTTTTATTTTCCCTTTCCAGAGGAATTGGTGAGTGATAGGGAGGGGGGGGCGGTGATGGTGGGTGGAGGAGGGAGGTGTTGTAAGGTAAAAGCTCTGTCGGAACTGTTAGCGCAGAGCAAACAAGCAAGAAGAAGCAAAACAAGCAACTGCAGGACAGGGGTAAGGTATGTACCGTACTGTAGAATGGAGCCGTTCGAGCGTGCAACGACCTACCGGTATTCTTGGCCTAGGAGACTCGACTGTAGGGAAAGAGAAGGAGGGAGAGCGCAAGGTGGGAACCGGGGAAACCGCAGCAATTGGGTTGGATCGATTGCCAAAGGGACGCAAAGGTAGGGCAGTAATGTAGCAGAAAACCAAGATGAGAGGAGAGAGAAAGGGTGTGGCGAGGATGGCGTTGTCGTGTTCCGTTTTTTTTCCCCCTTCCGTAGACTACCGTGAGGGTATGGATAGTTGCACACAAAAAGGCGTATGCGAGCCAGGGATATTCTATTGGTGAAGAAGGGTCTATCTATCATAGGATGGCTAGGTACTCGAGTAAACAATGCGGGACAGAGGGTTTGCCGGGAAGCACGAGCAGGAGAGGAATTGATGGAAAGAAGGGTTCCCAATAGAGGGTGAGAAAAACGGACCGTTATCATAGTCCTTATTCGAAAGTGACAAGTCAAACCCCCTAGTCGAGAACTAAAGAGACTATAGTACGAGTTCGAGTAACGGCTGCCAATGCGGCCATCCACCACGGAAACGGTGTGGAGAAGGAGGCAAAGAGAGAGAAAAGCGAGGGAGGGGTTGCTTATTGCGATAACCATCAATTGAAAGTTCATATGATATGTCTTGCGAGGAGTGATGTTTGGCTATTCTCACGGCGCCTTGCATCTCTCCATCCACCCGGGATGGCGAGAGTAAATACCGTTCAATTGAAACTCCCTCACAATCACAACATACTCGCCGCCCTCTTCACATTCTACGATTGACTGCTGAAGTCGATGCCTCCCGTTGTGCGGTGTCCAGTCTATCGATGGCTAACCCCACCGGTACCATAGATATCATATACTATCACACATAATACAAACCGAACCACCGCAGCAAGCGGAATACCGTCCCCAAGCCCCAGGCCCAGGGCCTCTGCTGGGGTAAGGAAGGAGGGATAGGGGTTCCAAGTTTGACCACGGGAAGGCGCATCATGGGAATTGTAATCTAAGGGCACAGGAAGACTCTTCTACTCCTACCCACTTGTCTGTTTATTGGTAAGGTACTGTACCGGCTGCCGGTATGATACACGATACCACCTTTTGTTAGGAGCTACCGCGAAGTCATCCTGCAAGGGACGCAAAAGCACCCTGTCATCCTATCAACACCCCGGAACTTATCAGAGATCTTATCTCATTGAAACCTCACCCCCAACGCCAGCGGAACGTTTCCTGCGGTGTGACCGTGATAGCGGTGTGGCAACGGGCCAATGCTTCATGGTGGACAAAGATGGTTGATTGCCGAAGCGTGATTAATCGCGTTTTGTGATTGCTGTCACGCTTCTATCCAAACAACCCCGTCACGGGGTCCAACTCATCATGATCATCATGATACAGACGGGGGGGTACCAACATGTTCGAACGAAACGGCTTCGGCCATCTGGTTGGCCAAGACCAAATACGAATATTTTGGGTAGTCCTCAACCCTCAATGGCCGGGCGCCGGTATTTATCTGATCGAGCAAGTATCATAGTTATCATATGATATTACTTACAGTACCGCCATGAACGAATGTCCGAGTGATGGAGCGTGGAACATAGATTAAATAGTTGGGCACGTGGAGCAAGAAGACACGAACCATATAGCACCGGTATTTTAGGAGCACCAGTACAGCAGTCCACTTGGTGGTACCTAGATCTAGAGCACCCGGGGTACGGTGACGGTGAATCCCTGATCCTTACACAAAAACCGGGTTAGTGATTAGGTACTATGAGAACTCAAGTGGAGCGCTGCGGTGCCACTATGGAGAAGGCTCTCCTACTACGAGTAGAGTCTGACTTGAACAATGTCATTCGGGCTCGGTAAGCTATGGCACCAACCACTTTACTCCATAGGCGGGGTTATTTGGTTGTTTAAAGACCGGTGGGGGGGGCAGACTTGGGCTATTCGTCATGGCCAGATAGGGTCTTGGGGTTAGAGCAGTATGGTATATGATACGTCCGATACCGTCAAACATCACGAATGGTTAGAATCCCTTACATATCAAACGGTGGTACGGTAACTTGTATAGTGCAGTCCCAGTTCAGAGTTGATTGGTTGCGTCTCCATCAGCCGGAGCGGGGGGGATAAAAGTCCCATAGCATCCCGGTCCCGGATCTCGCCCGGCCGCCTTTTCATGCAGTGACCTCCAATCGATGGAACAAAACCCCCCATTTTCCTCCTCCCACCATCCGTTCCTGCAAGTTGGAGCATCTATTTTAAACCCCAAACCCTCCTCCCCTCCTCCCCGCTGAGGGAACCCGCAAAACAGCGCACAGATTTCCCCCAACTTAGGAAACCTACACCGCAAGGGTCTGTTTTACCAACCTTGCTGGGCAGCCCCTGGGGGCAAATCCCCCCCTCTTTTAGCGGTTTCTCATACAGGTCTACTATCATCTTATCAAAAAAAAACAAAAAAAACATAGAGATCATGCCAAGTTATAGAGGGATCAGATATGAAGTACTCGAGTACCGTACTCGAGTAGTTTTACGGGATAATTTTTATTTGATCATGTGACTATACTTGTACGGGTACTGAAGGTGTTCCGTAAGGGACCTTTAAACTACGGTATTATTATCTTGTAAATTTGTACGATGACATATATATCATACACCGCTAACACAAAGGGGGGATCTGTTTCCAGGAGTTGCTCGTCAACTCTGGTAATTAAAGCAGACCCTAAAGTTTCCTAAATTGGCATCTTCATCACAAACCCACCGCCAAGCCTCCTATTATACCTTGACAACCCCCCCCAATTCAAACCCTAAACCAACGACTTGCAGCATCACCCGTCTCCTGAGCCTTCTCGCTCCTTCAATGTCATCTACGCCTCCTACACCGCCAAAGAACCTATACATCTGTATCGAATGCTCGTCGCCCGTGCAATCGCTCTACACGGCTTACTCATCCGCCGATGATCGCTCCTTGGGACGCGGTGTGAGGCTCACGCAGTGTCCGAGGTGTAAGAGGTTTGCTGACAAGTATGTTGAGCATGACTTTGTTGTGCTATTCATTGACCTGGTATTAATTAAGCCTCAGGTATGATTCATGGCCCTGGGGAGGGCATGAGGGGATTGACGGGTAGCTGATTTGGGGGTGGTTAGGTCTATAGACACTTACTGTTCAACCGGTTAGGAAGGGAAGATGACAGATTCGAGGCACGTAAGGCTTCGGCTATGAAGGAAGGAACCTCGCTAATAATTAGTGCTTACTCTTTCTTAGCCGTCGATCGTCCGCCTCGGATTCCTCCTCCTCCTCTTTGACGTGTACCTAACCTGGGCGCGTATTGAAAAGAATATACCAACTGACCCACTGAACACCTCCGCATTCGGAATCCTAACCCAACGACCAATAGTCGTACAATACCTCTTCTTCCGTACCTACCCCTCCCCCCCCATCTCTTCCCACCATCTCCCCTCCCCCTTCTCTCTCCCAATATTAACTATTGCTAGTCCTCCTCTGCCTCACGGAATCCCTCCTCTTCCACCTCACAATCCGCCTAATCAGTCAGTACCTTCTCGGCGCAACCCGCCCCAACGCCGTCTCAACTGCACTGATAGTATCCTCCTGCACAAAGCTCTTCCCAATACTGATGGTGATATGGAATTACGAGATCCCCGCCGCGGCGAAGTCGGTGGGTTGGGCGGTCGTCGTTAATAATGTCGAGGCCTTGCGGATCTCGCTGGGGATAGATTACTTTCGCGCCGCGGGGCTTGCAGGAGCTGGGGCTGTGGTCAGGGCTGTTGCGAGTCAGACAATATTAGGCTGGACGGGGCTGCTAGGGGATAATGATCGGTGGGGTGGAATGGGGGTTGGGATCGAGGAGTGGGTTGGCAGGTTGGGATTGGGCAAGTGATGATAGGGTTGGGGAGAGGGGCGTTATTTTTTGTCTCTGGGGTTAAAGATGGATATCGTGTCCCCAATGTATGATCGAAGGGGGGCGGGGAAAAAAGGCGCATGCGGTTGACAAGGTATCATAGATAGACAAATAGTGGGGGCGTAGTAAATAATATTGGGTGGGCGATAACATGAAACTATGAATTTTGATATCACAACGGGGGGCTACATTATTGTTTGTTTGTGCCTTTGTTGTGGGAATCATCCCCATGATTTCTCGGAAATACTTGCTTCCAAGTTTCTATGATACAAGGACTCGACCCGAATCTCAAGAAACGCCCGCCTAACCGTGTTACTGCGATGCTTACGTCTCCTGGCAAACCCGGTCCACACCAACGTCTCTCTCTCAACCTCTCAAACAAGCGCAACAAGACACCGAGTGACATGCCGTGAATACATACATGTATTGCAATCCCAAACTTTCAGTGCTTTAATAATAATAGCAATAGTGGTGATGGTGATGGTAATGATATCGATAAAGGGGTATATATAATTGAACCCACCAACTGCCGTAAAAAAAAAAAAATCCACGTCAACTTAAAAGAAAGCGCACCAACCGATATACATAGCGCATAAATTCGCTGGATCAACCGCCTCCTTCAGCAACTGCTCCACCTGCCCCTCAACGCTCAACGGCATTGTCTCATCTCTATACAGCCCCTGCAACTTACTCTGGATACTCTCAAGCACAGCCTTCGGCGTATCTGGAATCTTGGCGTTGACTGGTTTCCTCCTGGCCTTCTTGACCATGTCTACAGCGGGATCATGTATGAACGTCTCGAGTAACGTGAGGAGGGTATCCTCGTTAATCCTGAGCACCCTCATGGCATTCTCGCATGTCCTGCGGAACACGCCCTCATAGCCGGTGACGCCGAGCGCGTCCACCATGTTCTGCGTCAGGCGGAAGGGCACCTTTTCCGGCTTCTCGAAGGATAGGCCCTTGTCAAAGAGGCAGTTGAAGTCGACGTGTAGCGTGTCACCCGTAGACTCGTCGAAGAGTATGTTCTCGCCGTGCCGGTCCCCGAGCCCCAGCACGTACCCGACCATCGACATCACGGCTGACGTGCGCGAGTAGGCGAGCCGGCTAGCGAGCCAGGCCGAGGGCTCGGAAAAGAGCTCCGCAAACCATTCATGGAAGACTGGGGGGAATTTGGGGAGGATTTCGTCGGTGAAGATAGCCACTCTTGTTGCTTGTGAGCCGTCGATTTCAAGGCGCTGACGAATCTTGGGGTACTTGGTACGCTTGTTAGTGGGCGGGGTTTGTCGGGGGTAGTGGGCGGGGGGGGGGAGGGGGGGAACGTACGTCTACGATCATTTTCTTAGATTTGTAGTAGGTGAGTAATATCTCACGCAATGTTCGGACACCGTTCACCCATTCGATTAGTCCGCATTCTTCATTTAGGGGAGTGACGCTGTATGTTCTGATGTCTGTCGAAATTGTCAGTAGGGCTTCACACGCAAGGATAAAGAGAGTCAAAAACATACACATCCGGCGTCGACTAGAATCAGGGTCCTTCTTCAAGAACCTATTGATCATATTATTGAACTCCATCAAACGCGCATCTTTACGCAAGTCATCCTTCGGTTTACATAAGAAGCCGTAAAGCCTTCCGTCGGTCCCCCGAATCTTGATTTTTCTGGGTTTCTGCAGGGAATTCATGACATCGGCCTCCTCCTCAATCTCTGCGACGCAAGTTAACCGGCCAGCTACCAAAACACAGAAAAGGGGCAAATTGGACTTACTCAAAATAGTCGGCTGGTGGCTCGGAAATGGTAAATGCGTCTTCACAGTATCCGGCACGGACGGGAGCGTAACCGCAAGCATAACCTGCGTCGGAACCACAAGTGCGCAAGGCGCACATTTATGATTGAAGCCATGTTCCTTAATGCTGATGGTTGCGGGAGCCTTCAAGCCCGTTAACTCCACATTGGAAATATGCAAGAGCTGGTCTGTCAATTTAGTCGCCTGGAGGATTAGGCTTCTTACGTCTAGATCGCTTTCTTCCCGGTTTTTTTTCAGAGCGTCTTTCAGATGGGTCATGATAAGTGAGCCACGTTGGGCCCTTTCTCGGGCAGTGGACCTGCAGACCGCCGTGAGGGACCATAGGGCCTGCTGTGGGTTTCCAGCAACCACTTTGACGATGATGCTTTGCAGGAGTTCGTAGACCGATTCTTGGGGGTGGGCGATTCGGGAGAGCATTTGTGGGAGGGCGGTGAGGAATACCCAGGGGGGTAAGCGCTCGCTGTATCTCTTTATGGAAGTGTGTAGGAGTTTCAAGCACTTGCCACGCTCTCTTTGGATATGGCTGCGGAATTCTTCGTTGCCGTATTTGGCGTCGATGTTCTGGTTTACGATCTCCCCCAATGTGAGCCAGAGTGTGAGGAGCTTGGGCATTGTTTGGAAGATATATTTCGTCCCGAACATCAGGGCACGCAAATAATTCTGGCAGACCAGTCTTGCATACTCGCCATATATGAATGGCTGCGTTTGCTTAATCGGTGGGAGTGCCTTTTCAACTTCGTACAACCTATTGTAGTGCCGTCCAATATAGTAATGTCCTTGCTCCCATCTTACATGTGAATCCTTAGCAGTGCAGTACTTGGAGACGATTTCAGTGGAATGCGTCTGACCAGCGCCATCCAGCCATCGAGCAAGCAAGAGTGAAGCCTTTGCCTTGACATAGCTCTGGGGCTGTGGGTGAACACCCGAATTATGAACGCTAGAATCATGAAGCTGTTCCTGGGAGCTGCCCTGGAGAAGATTGGAGGTAATTGCCCCTTCAAGGCTGGAGATTGCTTTTCGATGTTGCCCACCAAGCCATAGTAACTTCGCGTGCTCAACTGTCGCAAGTGGAGCACCGAGCCTGGAAGCGTGAAGTACCGAATTAAACGATTGAGAAATCTGACCGCTCTTTCGTGCCAAACGTGCTCCTATGAGCCAGGTAGAGGCAACACTGTCCTTAACAAGTTCAGGAGCACTACAATTGCGTTAGCTAAATCAACTTAAATCAATAGAAAAAGACACGTAATCACCTGGAAAGCACAAATGCCGCCCTCCTTAGAGCCAAGAGGTGCTGCTTATCCTTCGAGTACGTCCCCAAAACATCCAAGCGTCTCCGAAGATTCGACGCAAGCACATCCTTCCCAAAATCCTTACCTGCTAATGCAGTGCTAATCTCTTCAAGCTCTGACAACGCATGCAACTTAACCATAGACTCGTGACATTGACGCAAAGAACCCGTAAAGGACTCCGTCAGCCCACCCAGAACACACTCCCGAGCTAGAGAAATTGCTTTCGCAAATGTCCCACTGTCGTGCCTACTCAGAGCAAGTAGCGCGTTGCCAACCCTTAGTTCGTAGAGGTTCTCTGTGTGCTCGTTGGATTTCGCAAGGTTTCTCTCAAGGACATCCCATTTACCGGATATCCAGGCTGCCTCGACAGCGTAGCGTAGGATTCTGGGTTGGGTGTTGGGGTATTTTTCCATCATGCCTTCGGCTTGGCTGAGGAGCATTTCTGGAGACCTGGTCAGCGTGATACATGGGTGGTATGGAGTGGAGCTTACCATGTTGTCCAGACTCCCTCAAGCAATCCAGAAGATTTATCTGCGCCTCAGAGTCATCAGGCTTCTCGCTCAAGAGAATCTCATACCAGCTCTGCGCCGCGGTCCATCGCCCAGCCTTCCTATGTTCAAGTATCTGCTGGTCAAAATTGAGGACGTGCAACTTTGTAGAAATCCCTTCGATGCCATCAGGCTCGTCGATCTGCGTATAAATCCGTTGAAGCTGCTCGTACAATGGATCCATTGGCACCTCTTCCTCTGCAGCCCTCACCTTTCTAATGTGCTGCTCCCAATAGAAGAGCGCCCGTGCATATGAGTTACATTCGACGGACCGCAAACTCATGGTGTCTGAGGGAATGGCGGAGATGACATCTTCTACCCGTGATATTGCGATGTCTTGATCGTATATTTCTTCAGACGCGAAGGTTCCGTTCCTCTGTCTGGCTTGTTGGTTTTTCAAATTTAGATTGAACTGCTTTTTGTCGCGAAGCCAGCGGGTTAGGTGGTCGACGAGTTGGAATACGGTCTATATCAACGATCACTATTTATCAGTGTCTCTTGTTTGTGGCTCTGATGGAGGGAGGAATGCCCACATCACTACATTGCCTTAAAGTCTCCCGAGCCATCTGTTTCTCCAATGGATTTTTGTGCGCCGGCGCAAGAACGGCGTGAATCTCCTTGACAATATTCTCCCTATCCAGGTCCCTCCCGCCAATAATGACGTTCAGCGTAACATAAGGAAGCAAAAACATTGAAATTGAGATATCCTGTCCCTTGACTATAGACTTACAAACCGTGAATATATTTGCCGCATTATCCCCCGTCGACTTGGAAAGTAAGTCCAATAGCCACTTCGTAAGCCAGGCGCGGTGAGTGATTTTCAGCGAAAACACTGGATACGAACAGGGTTGTACAGAGTTATTGATCTGTAGAGAATATCTCGACCTCAAGAATGGTGTGAGTATGCTTTTGGCCGTCTGACTAAAGGAGTCCCATCTCTGCTGGCCCGTCTGTGCTGTGGGGCCGGGGCCATCGTGGCGGGATCGTAGGATCACTGTAGACTCTACGTCAATAAACTTTAACAGTTCTTGCATTCCGAAGGCAAGGAATCCCTGAGCTTTTGTATCTGTCGCAGACAAGAAAGCCTTGACGAGCCTCTCCTCCAGAAAGAAAGTTACAAACGCAATACTCTCATCTGCGCGATTGAAGTTGTGCAGAACCATCATGTCCCGTTTGTCCCTCGGGGCCTCTACTCGGTTAGGATCCACCGCCCCAATGAGTCCCAAGCACTCTGTGCATAGGTGCTCAATCCTAGGCTTCGAAGACGAATTCGAGTCCTTAAAGGAAACAATCACGTCTAGGAGTGTCCGGATCAACTCGGGAACTACCACGTCGGGCTGTTCGTTGATCGCCGCGGTGTGTATAAAGTCCTGATGCTGTTTTAGAAACTCGGAAAGCTCTGCCAACGCCTGCTCGACGACAGATACGTTCTCGTGTCGACATCGGCGAGCTAGTAAGTGATAATGATCTCGGATTTCTAAGGTTCGCATGGCCCTAAGTCTCCCCTCGAATGGAGCAAGAGCTGGTATTGCTGCCAGGGAAGGTATGATGTCCAGACTTTGCCCGATGATACCAATCTTCTCGAACAGCTCTTTTATCATTTCCACTGCCTTGGCCTGTGAAGTCTGCTCAAGACTGTCCCAGTATTGTAGGACCACAGAGAATGTTTGACCAAGCAAGGGTGCGCTTTCAGCGGGTTCTAGGACTCTCATCATAACGGCCCAAGCCGAAAATGCACTAGCTCTCAATGGCTCGAATTCTAGTGCTTCTTGTAAGCAGGCACATATCTCAAGTAGTTAATTAGCATTTCTCAAGATATCGGACAAGTGGAAACCAGAACGTACTTGTGGTACTGCGCTACTAACACTGCCTCTAGCTAGCTCCATCATCTCTTCAATCGCCCTCATGATTCGAATTTTCTCTGGGGTTGATAACTTCCCCTTAATATCCTTAAGATAATCATTAAAAGTAGCAAATATACCAAGTACGTTCGCTTCAAAGAATACTTCTAAGTGGTCGATCTCTTTATTTCTCCTTGTGCCCGCCACTTTTTTATATGTCAGAGCCGCCACAAGTCTCAACGCATAAAAGATCTATTATCAGGTATCAGCTGCCATCTCCAGGAATTATCGAACCGAAGGCGTAGAAACAAACCCTAATTTTCCGGTCTTCATCCGCGTCTACAGCAGCCTTTAATAACTCCGTGGCAAGAGACATCGCATCAGGCCTAGCAATCTCCCCTAGCGATATATCTTTAAACTCAGCAGTAGCATGCGCCAGCAAATGCAACGTAAACGCCTCGACATTGTCTGCTTCCTGTGGTAGAAGTAGAGCTAATATGTGCGCCATATTCGACAGTGCTAGAGACACCACATCTGTCTTGCAGGCTTGGGCAACCCTTTCGACAAGCTCTGGCCTCTTCCAGAGGATGAGGTATGGTACAGTATGGCCCTGTGTCGTCTTCAAAAAATCCGAAAGTTCCATTCCGACTACTTCTGATAGTAATTGGGCTATCTGAGGTTTCGACTGGAGCTGCTTGACTACACCGACACTAATGCTTGGCCAGAATGGCGAAAACATCTTGCCAGGCGTAACGCCGTGCGTTCGAGCCAATGATTGAATCTAAACCCGTCAACGCGACTACATAGCGACGTATCAAAAGGGCTACTTACCTCGTTAAATGCTAATCCAAGAATGAACGAGCTACTATGCCCAAGATACTCCACCAGACGGATTAACGCGAGGTTGAGTTCTTCATCAGATGACACTCTGTGGATCGGTTAGCTTAGGCCTGGGACACTCATAACCCATATAGTGAGAGGAGCTATTAAGGTACATACCTTCCAAACTGACTCCACGCTAGCACACAGGTCTCTTGAAGTTGCCCTTCATCATTATCAGACAACGTCCTCAAGAACTCGATAATCACAATCCGATTCGTCCTAAGAAGCTCTTCGCCATGTTTAAATGTAACATACGACGGTAAGGTACGCCTTGAGCACAAAAACGTCAACAAAACCAGAGCCCAAACATCAATCACTTATTAAAAGATAATACAGCATACCCAGCAGCGACCCTTAAAAGCCTCCTGGAACTTTGCAAAGCATTTAAACACCACTTCCCCATCGCTGTCTCCGCCAAATCCAACCTCGCCAAATCCCGCGTGTGGTTCAGCAGCCGTCGGAGGCTGATCATAGCCCAGACACGAACAGAGGTCGATGCCTGAAAGGCCTCGAGCTTCTGAATTACCTCTAGAGTCTTAAACAGCTCCTCACCCCCCTGGGCATAGCTCCTCTCCGATGCTATTGCTTGGAGAGTATCTGCATCGCAGTATGAACACTTATACAAATTCAACCCTTTTCGCACGCCAAATGATTCGGATACCCGAGTAAGTGTTCCAGCGAGTGCGCATGATAAGAAGCCGAGGGACTTTAGAGCTGTACAGCGCTCTTCTTCTTCCAGTCTTTTAAAACCTTCGACAGCGACAAGACTTAGCCCTTGGAGGTCGTCCGCGTCTTGGTGTCCGAGCAGCTTATACACGTCAAATGTCAGAGCGCAGGCTTCGGTGCTGGGCTCGCCTTTGAATAACCTGGGTCGCTTTCTAGGGCCGACATTGTTGTCTAGTTCTTCCTCGGGCCTGGTGCCTCTGATTGAATGGAGATGTTGCGAGAATTCTTGCAGTTTCTCGTCTTTGAATACCCACCTACCTTCAGTAGCTAATTGAAGACACTTATTTGCGCGTTCCAGGATTACTAGGTCATCGGCGAAACTAACGACCAATCGAAGCATCGCCACCTATTACCGGCTAGATTAGCTAAATGTATTCATTCGCGCTAGCTCTGGCGTACTTACCCGGAGGTCATCTGTCAAAAGTCCCCAACCGTCTTCTCCCCTATCGCTCATAATCAAGATAATTGGGGGATATATTCTCTCTCGCAATGCCTGATGAATAGTAGTGGAAACCTCTGCAGCGCATAGCAACCCTAATATTATCTTTGCTAAGGTACTCTCTGCGCTCTGATTTATTTGGGATATCGACATGGTCAAGACATCACCAACGCAGCGGACAGCAAGTAGGCAGACACCCTTGATCCTGCTTCTTCCATAGCGTGTCTTCACGACATCCCCTAGGGAATTCGCCAGTGTCTCCAGCATCTTTAACCGGATTGTGCCCACTTTCTCATACAACACCGGGAGCGACTCCCAGGTGTTAAGGCTCATCCAGAGATTCTGCATCTCCTGTGCAAAATATATCAAGCTATCTGAGACGCTTCTGAATGGAGGTACATCACTATGCCGGGCGGGTAACGCAGAGATTGCGGAAAACAGATGGACAACCAAAAAGGCCGCGTGGTCGGCATCCCGAATAGCAAAACTAACCATCTGGCGAGAGAAGCGTTTGAAACCCTCCGGTAGCATTAAGGGATCAACAGTAAAGCACTTCTCCGGTAATTCAAGCCTGTAGGACTTAGATAGGGTAGCGGTTATACCGGATGCCTTTTGGAAAGACTCGAGGATACCTTTAACGTTTCAATGAATTTCACAGTTCGCACAGATTAGTTTCAAGTTTTATTATAATGTTGGTAAACGCGTACTCGCGGAGGTGAAGGAAAGAAAGAAAGGGAAAGAGAAGAGAGAAAAGGAAAAAGAAAGAGAAATGATTACAATTTACACAGCTCCGAAAATACCCCACCATGATCATGACACTCTTCCACTCTTTGGGTAGGTTTGCAGCTGCATAGAAGACGGCATAAATGGTTTCAAGTAGCTCCTGCACAAGCGATTCGGCAGGTCCATGCCCAAGCAGCGGGAGTAACTTGGACAGCAACCATAGATACAGCAATGGCTGTTCCGACTCAGCGGTAGACTCGGGCGGCGGTCTAAACAGCACCAGGGGAGTCTCCTTGATGGTCAAACGTAGGACCAGAAGACTATTACTCGCTTGCTCGGTCAGGTTTTGGGTGGGGGCAAAGGGATCTTCCCGCAGCAGGACGCTGACACCGGCGTCCACGACCGCCGTGATAACTTTGTAATTGACCAAGAGTGTATCTTCCAGGGACGAGCTCCCAGTTGGGTCGGTGACTTCGTGAGAAATCACTTCCGCAAATAGCTGCTGAAGAAAGTCAGGCCCGGGCGAGCCATTTCCAGTCTTTGGGAGGTTTTGGAAGATGACGGCGATGGAGGATGGGGGCTGTTGTTGCGAGCTCCCGGCAATGGAGGCGTAGTCAGCGATGGGCACAGGTGGCGGAGCCATAGCGCCCACAGCAGCAATTCGTTTCCTGCGGGCGGACATTTAAGCAAGTCTGGTGTTTTCCTCCTTCCTTCGTTCTCACCCCGTTGTTGTCAATAAGTATCGTTGTGCTATCACGTCTCTTGAGATGTTGGGTTTGGAATTTGTGCTGGGAGACGCGTTGAGGGAAGCCTAATCCTTGGCGTTGAATGTTCGTGAAAAAAAGCCTTGGCAAAATTTGCCCTCTATTTGGCGCGGTTACCCATGGATCTGCTCCTCGCACAATAACAGCATGTTTAACTTTAGACCAAAATCCGACGAGACTAAACAGCTCCCCCCCGATTGGCCTGAAATCAAGAGATTTGTTCACTCCCTTCCAGAGGCGTCACGACTTCATGTTGCTCCTATCGAAAAGGAAGATTGATTCCATCGGAAAAAAACGCTCATAACCCCGCCTCCAACGCCATCATACTTACTACCGGTAGCCAGGCATTAGAGCGAGATCAAGAACAACGACTAAAATGTCCCAGAATACAAGTGCATGTACGGTGCAAGTGGGAAATGCCTCTTAGAGAGATGCCAAAATACATTATTAAATTTTGATGGAGAGCACTAAACACCAACAGATGGAGACCGAGAAGGGGGTGTCCCCACAGCCCATCGTAATAGTGCTCACGGTAATCCATGAAGTAGCAACCTCCCCATACCTCCTTTTTGTCTTTTTAGAGGAGGGGGGAATTTCGTGTTGCCTATTCCTTAATATTTTAAAGCGTCACTCGCCAAAACCCTAGGGATCTTCCTTGCACCCCCGAATTAATAGAATATCATGACTCGGCGAGTGACCAATCGTGACGTTCGTAGAGTTACCGGTACACTATCTGTAACGGCGTTAAGCATCATGCAATATATCCCGAGGGTCCTGCAAGGACGCACTGACACCACGGGAGAGCACAGCAGCGATCGCAAGGAGGTGTTAAGTGGCTTGATCTTGGTGCGCTGTGTGTATGTAGGAGGTTATTTCTCCACAACAAATATGCACTTTCTGCTCTAGTGCCGGTAGACCGGAACAGGTTGTCCAACTATCAATCCACCCCTAGAAAGGAAAGGTGAAAATGAAAGTGGAAATCAAAAAGAAAAATGTAAAAATTCTACCTCCCACCTCTCGCCCACTACCACAACAACAGGGCATTCACCCTCGTTTCCCTCGGGATGGTTCTACCGCGTATCAGAAAAAATATCAGTACTCCTCCTGGAAGACACTACGAAGCCGCAATTATCCAACAGGCAAATACAAGGGAAAATGCATGATATTGGATGACTTGAAGTTGTCATGACACAAAAGTGGTATCGAGATACGAGCAAAAAAAATATCAGACAGTCAATAGGCATAATAGTATGTTCTCGCCGGAATTCACATCCTTCAAGAATCAGGAGTAGCATGAGCAACTTTTTTCGATCCATGGGTACGTAAAGAGGAAGGTATATAATAGAAAACAATAGCGGAAACCATGAACACAAGATGCGAGAACCCAGGGATGCCACCAGGTCAGAATTCCCACTACAAGGGAGATGGTATAGGAAGCATAAAGAAACTTGTATTAAACAACGCCGTCGCCAAAAAGAAAAAGAACTGTATTCGTAAACGGAAAACCGAAGACGAGGATTATACATCCTCCTCCGCAACTGTGTAAAAAGAACCAATCGTCTCAACGAAAAATGCCCAATTTTTTGCAATGCAAACCCGCCAATGTACACCAAAACACAAACAAACCAGCCCAAGAGAAAAACCTACGCCTTCCGTTTCCCAGAATCCAGGGGGCTCTGCCTTGCGAACCACTCCAGGACAGTCTCGTAGCACAGTACAAACTGTCTCAAGCTCTGCACCATTGATAGCCTTTGGTCACGGAAGTCACCAACGACCTTGCAGATCAAGTCCTCGTCGTCGCGATCCAGCCAAGCATTGTCGCCCTCATCGTTAAGCTCTAGTTTCCTCATCCCAACCTGCCCCTCCCCATCGGAACCCCCAGAAGAACTCTCTTCCTTATTTCTCTTCTTTTGCAAGCGTTGACGCCGCAATAGACTAAGCACTGAATCTACCGCACAGAATGTTCCTGTGCGGCCACAACCGGCACTGCAATGCACAAGGATAGGCCTACGTTGAGCAGCTGCAGCAGATTCTGCGGAGAAGGGGGAGTTGGTCGTCGGCTGCGAGGACCTGACAACAGCATCGGTGTGTTCAATAAGTCCAAGAATGTGAGCAGGATGGGCAGGTGCCCCAAAGTCTGGCCACGATGAATACTGAAGCTGAGTGATCTCGCGCATGGGAGAAAAGGGATGTTCGACGTGTTCAAGTGTAAACTTGCGAACCAGAATAAATGGCACGTTAAGGTCAGGTGAAGCAGGTCCGTTCAAGGCCGTTCCAACAGATCGCCTCTTTGGGCTTGTTTTTAAAAACGATGGATCAAGTGAGACACGACGTTCCGATAGGGATGTGAGCTTTAATGGACCATAATTTTTTGGTTCCCAATATTTATGACTTTTGACTTGGCCACCTTCCTCCTCGGCCGTCAACATAACAATCACTCGTACATCCTGTTCCCAAACCATACTCCAGAAATCCTGAACGCAAGTCAGCACCACAAGTAGGATAATAAAATCGCTGAATGAAACTTACCCTAAAGGTCGTCGGTAGCGGGGCCTGAGAAGCGATATACCTTTTCGGTGCATATTGGGCTGATACATGACTAGCATTTACATAGTCGCACTCATCCTGGGGATAATCGAGTAGCCTAACTCTAGCATGGTCGTATGGCCAAATATTATTATACCTATTCTTAGTTCCTTTTTCAACCCCGGCCAAGGTGTGTGGCTTCACAGCGGTCGATGTAGGGGAGTCATAGACCACTGAGATATTCAAAGCCTCCTGCATTCTTTCTCTCTCCGCCTCCTCCAAGCGAAGGAACCGGTCTGCCACAATTTTAGAGCCGCCTTCCTCACAGACAACTTTCTTGAGCCAGGTGGGCAATGTGGCGATCCCTTCGGATCCAATATTTTGAGGTAGAGTAACAGGAACCTCTCCAACACCTCCGATCAAGTCCATGTTTTGCCTGATATTCGAGAAAAATGGATTGACCACGGACTTTTGAGAAGTAGGCATGGGACAGTAAAGAGCCCCGGGAGCCCGCTTTCCAGGAGCCGGCAGCTGACTTGGCAAGGATAAATTCGTAGGGGATAATGTCTGGGCAAGACGATTTTCGTCCACCTTTTCTGGGTATTTTGAGAAAAACTCGTTGAAGCCGCCTGGGTATCATAATCAGCGGTGACACAAACTCAGATGAATTGTGGGAAGGCAATTTACCTTTAAGAACGTATGCCTGCCCCTTCCACCCCTCCCGCACAAACTTGTTGAGAGTATGCAAGGATGTCATTGTCGACGGGTCCTTGAGATCCTTGAGATCGGTATCATACACCACAATGTATTTCATATCCTTCCATGTGGCAAACTTTTCTTTATCCTCATCTTTTGCAAACGTTTCCGATAGCTTAGTGACATTGAACGAGGGCCTTTTGAGAAGAGTTGTAGGAATACATAGATTGACAGCTCTCTCGATGCGAGACTCGGCGTACAAATTATAGGTTCGAACATCGAGTAATAGAAGGTTCGAAGTGTTGGCGTTCAAAAGTTCCACCAGATGCGACGTAGATAACAGGACTGGGTCCCCTTCCTTTGGGGGGGTCGGTGACGTGGAAGATCGCCCCTGAGCTTGGCTCTTAATCCTTTGTGCTATAGAATCCTGAGACGCCTTATTTGGAGACGATGGAGATGAGGGGAAGGAAAGCCGAGGGGGGTTATCATCCGAACGGGAACATGTTTCTCGAACGCTGCCCAACGCAGTTAGAGAAGCGGTTCTCGCACCGTTCAAAAAGCTTGATCCCGGTATCATGGCTCCAAGACGTTCCCTCTGCATATGGTGCAATAATTCTGGAGATGGATATGATCCCAGTGGAAATCCAATCTTTTCCCCTTCGGTGATTTCCCTCGACAAATGCTCAGGCTCCGATGCAATGCGGCCGTTCGGATGCTTAAGGCTAAGAACGATTGCTTCTGATTGCATCTGGAACGGTGTAGATAGGTGGTCGAATTGAACCGGACGCGGAGACCTGGCAGCTGTCGAACGAACAGAAGATCCAGAAGACGACCAATTGTTTTTAGCGTGCTGACCCTCGGCAGGATCTAGAACCAACCCAAAATAGCCGGCGGGACTTGGGGGGTTAGGATTCCCCTGCTTCGGACCCTGTTTTGTTCCTGAAGTAGGCGCAGCTGACGGAGGTGGCGCGGCCGTTGAGGTATAAGATGTTTGTATGGCAGGAAGAGGATGCTGTGAGCGTACTTGGGAATGCGGGCTGTGAACTGGAAAATCGAGAGACGACCGTGGCGACGGTCTTGAGGTCGTTACCGACATGCTGAGAGGTATTATTGAGTAATAATGCTGTGTTGTTTATACTTTACTGTTATGGAAATCCGGTCCAAATTGCGAGGTGGGGAGGCTTTAAGGGGAAACTAGCAGACTATGACGAAAGGTCGTCAGACAAGCGAGATCGAGAACCAGTCGGAGAGAGGCGTCAAAGAATTCCAAATGCGTATCGAAAGCTCATGATCACTGGGCGTGATAAACCTTGAAAGGGGGTGTTTCTTAGTGTAAGGAGAAAAGGGTGGCGTTTGTATCGGTTCGTCAAAGTTTGGTCTCCCGTTAGGTAGCTCGCCTTTCGAATTTTCTTTCTTTTGCTCTCTGAATCCTTCTCCCCGTCCGTTTTTATTCTCCTTCCCTCCCCTGTGATTTTGATTATAAACACTTTCCTTTAGAAAGTGAGATGTAACTATTATTACCAATGCAATAACAACGTGTTCGCCCGAGATCTTGGAAGCGGCGACGGCGTTATGACGCTGCAAGTGAAAAACGGATCAAATCAATTGTCCGAGAAGCAGCGAATGTCGCTTGCTTGCGGAAGAATTTTTTTTCCCGCCCGAACGCCAAACGCAAACGAAGGCAAATAAAGGGGAAAGGAGAGAGCGTAAGAGAACAAGCGGGCAACGAAATACAAAAAATCACGTATTCGGGTAGTGAATAAGAAATGAGAGAGGGGGGGGTTTTGACCCAGGGGAATGGGGCTTTGGGTGGGGGGGGGGGGGTTGTTAAAGGATCGCGGAGAACGGGAAAAGGGTCTAAATTCAATGGGACTGACTGCAAACAAAGGAGGGCAGAGCACACGCTTAAGGAGGGATGAGAAGGAAGGAGGTTCTGGGTTGAGCGTGGAGAAAAGAGGTGAATAGGGAAAAGAGGTGAATAGGGAAGGGAGGATGTATCACACAGAGCCCAGATTGTCCTCTTTTTTTTTTTTTGCATCATTTATCCAGAGCCCAGGGATGCCTGTAAGAAGGAGAGTGAAAAAAACGAGTGCCACTAGACTGCCGTACTATGATACTCGTCTGGTGGCGGCGGAGGTGGGGGATTTACATCACAGGCCGAGATGGGTAAAGGGCGCGGGGCGTGTCTACTCGTACAGTACAAGTACGAGTACGACAGACTCTGGCTTCAGTTCCCCAAAAGAAAACACCGGTTTGCGAGTTGCAATCCCGATTCTCGCGAAATCAGTGAAGGATAATAGCCATCACCATCACCATCGACTACAAGTTATGATCCACAGATCTAAGGAGCAAGCCAGGTTGCTTTGCAGAGTGCCGGCAGAGGTGAAAGGGGGAGAAGAGCAGGACCGCTACCATTATCATACCGGTATTACGGTACCACAGGAGCAATACTGGTACAAGTATGATAGTACTCGTAATAGTAAAAAATGTAAGGTGCGGAGCACCGAAGGAAAATGAGATGAAAATATCTGGATCATAATATTATGATCCCTGCTGTTTACAAGAGCAAACTCCTCAGTCCATGACTCTTGTGGCCTTAGTCCTATCGTAGAGGCTCGAGATGCTCGAGGACTGCTTCCTTCCTCCGTCTTCCCTTCTACCAGTACTTTTCTTGGCAAACTGACTGCCATGCTAGTACGAATTGTGAGAGGTCTTGCTTACTGGTGAGTTTATGACAGTGTTGATACTATTCGTTGGGTTCCGTCGCGTGGCTTACTGCCGTTGTCGCTGGTGCGGTGAGCGTCACAAATAAGCCCGCCGATGACGCTATTGGAAAGGGGCTCGGGTTAAAGTCTGACAGCTTCAAAAAATAGCCTTGGGCCCCAGCTTTGTCCAACCCATTGAAAAGGGAGAGAACTCCAGTCAACTGAATTCCCTCAGCCATCGGAGCCGAGCACTTCAGGTATCATAATATTATTATAATAGATTCCAGAAGCTTCAATTGCCTTTCTTCCCGCTTCCGGATCGCTTTCTCTGGTGAGGAAGAGAACAATGTCTCTTCGTGCGGTGCAGCGGCGTTCTCTCTACTGTGCTCGATTACGACACGGTTAGCCTACGATCGACTCCCAGCTTGCTATAATATGATACTTGAGTGCGAGCACCAGCACATCGTAACCTCTATGCGAAAGGGGTCTGCAAGCAACACCAATGCCCATGCCTCCACACTCCTGTCAGTCAGAAGCGGTTAGCGTAAGCAAAGGGCACAGCAAAGGCCACCAAAAGCATAATGAAGCCACTTATACAAGTATGACCTAACTTACCGCTACCGTAGGTGATATATACACAGATACGGTACTCTTTGTACAGCCTCAGCAATAACAGCGGCGAAAATAGATCCCTTTTACGCCCTTTCTTCCATCGAGACCAGGTTTTTGGGGAAGGCACAAAACAATTTAGCTTACAGTCTGTTGCGGATCGTCACAGCGCTTGGGTGCCTTGCCTTACCAAGCTGTAATAATATCCGAAACTGGCTGGCCAGGCCAGATCTTCCCCGAAACCGCGAGTACTCGAGTACTGTATTGGGCCTTAAGGCCCATCGCTTCCCCTTTTGGCGCCAATGATATGGAATTCTACTCGTATGGGCATGCTTGAGTAGTGAGACGAGAAAGAAAGAAAAAGAAAAAGAAAAAGAAAAAGAAAAAAAGTGCTATGTTTGAAGTAATCACCCTTTACCCTGGCTAGAGAATATTTTTTGTCACTTCCCTTTCCATCAGCTTTTGAATGGGGGGCAAAGCTGATTCATTCGTTAATTTAAGTCATATCATACTTGTAAAAGGTGGTTGGGAGGAAGCACACAGGCTCGTGGCGATACATATCGTCATTTTCGGTCACTATTCCCAAACGGGAACCAGCACTTACATAATATATTACTCAGAGATAGCCACTGGGTGTGACAGACGACCACATCTGGCTGAAAATGTTGGACTACCGCACGTGTACAGTACGAGTACTCGAGTGTTTCTAGCATATGCGAGAGAAGGAAAAAGAAAAAGATGGTACTCTAAAGAAATAATTCCACATAAACCAGAGGATCGGCTACAGGTCAACAGTATACACTTTGGAACAACGGCCCAACAGCGACGACCACTTCCTCTCGGCTTTCACATTTATATACGTATATCTTGTATATCCCATGCGGCGAGCTATTCAGGGTGTAGGAAGTGAACAGCAGGGAGGGGTACACCAGGGAACAGAGAATCTGATTGCCATAGTGTTCTCATAATATTATTATATAATTCTAAGTTATTATATAATTCCTTGACTTATCACTCGGCCGCCGACACCCTTCCTTCCCCAATATAAGCTCACCGATTTTCGACATTTAGCATTTAACGGCATTGAGAGTGTAGATGGTATTCAGCCCTTCCGGAAGGGTTCCAGCAGAACCTGCACTCCTCCCTGCTGTGGTGGCTAACCGCCAGGTTATTCCACTCGGCAGGCCAACATGAACATCACACCCACTCCATGGTAGACAGACATCAAACCTACCATCCAAGTGACCGACCAGGACTTATCAGAGTAGATCGCCCCCCATATAGCACCAACTTAAGCTTTCTATCAAACGGGAAGGAGCGCTTTTCCAATCCTAATATAGCAGAAGGGATCGGGGGACTCCTTTTTGGGGTTTTTCATCCAAGTTCCCCCCACCCCAATAGAATTTTTGGGGGTCACCTCTTCTCATTTTATTTCACTTCGGCCTGTTTGTGTGTGTTCCCGGGTGCCCCTTCTCCCAACTCGCATTTTTGTTGTTCTCAGGGGATGGGGTACTCCCCGTGCGGGATATTTCTTTTTATCCAAGCGGGTTAGTTTTTTGGCGGGGGTGGGGGGAGATAAAAGCAAGGAACACACTTCCCCCGCACGGGTACATGTGGGCTCCAAGCTGGGGGTGGGTTGGTTCCCCCCCCGGCCCGGCCGCCACGTACGGGAAAGCACTTATTTTGATACAAATTGGTGGATACGTTACCAAGCTGCAAAATTTCCCGGGACCCCCCCCCCCCCCCATAGAAAACACACCGCGAAAAAGTCAAAAGTATCACTACCGCATTCAAACCATCTATAATATTTACCCGTCGCTGAGCCGTGACAAAAAAAAAACAAAAAACTAAGAGCCCTCTCCTGTCAACCCACCAAGCGATCAAATCGGCTCATCGAGTGATATTTTACGACTGGGGCTATAGAGTAGTGTCTTTAATGCCTTTTCGATGGCTTTTTGGAAATCTTTTATGAGCAAATAGCTACTTCTCCTCCACGCTATTATAGCATACCACGCTTGGTGGCTAGGTGCCTTTCACAACCCTCCTCTGTAACCGGTGATCTAGGGCGCAGGGTCTGGAGTTAGAAGAAGAGCAACTACCATATAGTACAACCAAGTGAGATGCAATGGTGTGGTAAGCTAAACCGGTCACAGACACATAGAGTAACAAACCCGTATCATACCTTACTATAATGTTATAAAAAGTGCCTTCACAATGATGCCCCTTCCGCATTTCTTCTGACTCACAACGTGGGTTCACTGCTCGAGTGCAAAAAGGTTTGAAGTGAGGGGAAATATGTGTGTGCGAGTGTGTTTTCCGGAACCTTTTTGTCATAATAATAATATTATTGTCATAATTATTATTAGCGGACCTTGTATCATACTGTACGAGTACTATTAGGTTAGGTACCTACCCGTGCTGCTGTACTCGTACTCGAGTACTAGTACTGTACTGTACTGTACATGCCGTAGTGTGCTCCTCGCTTGCTTACCACCAAGACTGTAGCAGCGGTACCGGTACCGGTAGTACTGTGTGGGATACTTGACTAATGAGTTTAGGCCTATTACATTATTACTTCTATTCTCGCGACTATCATAGCAACAAAAAAAAAACCCTCAAATAGTTCAATCCCCCAATTGACGGTTCCGAATCATCAACGACACAAGCACCTCCCCAATCCACCCCCCTTCTCCTCTCTGATAACCTCCCCGCAATGTTTCTGACATGACGTGGAAGCCCACGTTTCGACTCCCTCACTTTCTCGCCACCAGGAAGCAGAATGTGAATTGTGCTCTATAACTGCACGGCACGGTAACTCGCGACGTGCATTCTTGCTTGTTATAGGTCCAATCAATGGTATTTATTTATTTGCCCTGCCCACGCTTACTTACCAGCCAGTCAAGCTAGACCTACTCGAGTAGAGAGAATTACGAGCGGAAAATAGTAACCACCCGAAATAAAAGAAGAAAGCATTAGTGGGTCAAACACCAATCATA